GTCTTAATGCTGCAAGAAGAAGACGTAGAAGATCTTAAGAACACATCTTCCTTCGTTTGCGGATTCTTGGGTGCAAGCATTCAATGCTGCATTCCTTTCATCGTACATAATTTTGTCTTGGTCCATATAAAAATATATCTTTATCTTATAAAACTCTTATCTTAAACTATCTGCTAATCTATCTACTGAGTTCTTCTATGTCTACTATAATGTCGTATTCTTGATTGTCATAGATAGATCTAACGTCCTACGCACGATCACGTGATATGCAGACTTCTACCCCTCAAGTGATCCTGCGTAGGGACGCCAGCTCGCTCATTTGCATAATCAGTACTCATTTGCATAGTCGTGACATCTGGTTTGCACAATAAGCACTCATTTGCACAAGTGCTCATTCGCATAGTCATGACGTCCGACTTGCACAACAAGCACTCATTTGCATAACAGGTACTCATTTGCATAGTCGTGACGTCTGGCTGTTTACGAGGACTCACCGATGACGTGGAGTGTGATAGCACACTCGTCAACGCCGTTCTCGTTCTCAACCTTAACCTTGTAGATCCCCGCGTCGTCCTTGATGGGCGCGAAGATGGAGAGAGTCGTGTTGTCAGGCGTCGTCTTGACCTGGAACTTGCTTCCCTGGACGATCGGCACGAAGTGCTTGCCGTTGGAGAAGCGTTTTCGCGTCCAGGTGACCTTCGGGGCGGGCGTTCCGCCGATGCGGACCGTCAGGTGCACGTTCTCGCGCTCGCTGATGGTCACGGAGGACGGGTACTCCTCCACACGGGCGGAGGCTGAGGGGGATAGAGAAACAGAGATAAGGATGGAGTCAGGACAATCATCATCATCATCTTCAATCATACAATAACTTAGTGACAATACGGGAAACCAGTATAAATTCAAGGGGATTCATTCCTCAGCTAACCGACATCATGCACACGCAGTCATCCCTCAGTAAGACATCTGTAGCCTGTTACAATAAGGGTAACCAGTCATGACTATACACTAGGGTAAAATGATGGTGACCTACTGAGAGTACTCTTCAACATGGTCATGAGGAAAAGCACTAAGAAAAATCCTTCATACATGTAAGTGACTACCAAGTGAAGCTTTCCTTGGACATTCAGTCAGAGAAAAGCTAAAATATTTTGGCATCTAGAATCAAGAAGCTTCTTGCTAGAACACAATTATCTCTTCTTTTACGTCAAAACTTGTGTCTTTATTGCTTACAAACACAACATGCTCAACACCTGTTGCCATGGCAATGGGACAGAAGTGTGGTAACCATGGTAACCGACTCACCATCATCCCTCATGACGACGGTTTCCTCAGTAGTTGTGACAGTCTCCATGACCTGAACCATCTGTCCGCTCTCCTCGTAGGTACGGGTGACGGTCTTCTGGGTCATGCCATGGGCAGCTTCTGTTGGTTGGTCGATAATCAATAAATCAATCAATCAATCAATCAATCAATCAATCAATCAATCAATCCATCCATCCATCCATCAATCAATCAATCGGTCAGGTAGAATGTCACACTGATCAGCGATGTACTATTGGAAATGCATCAGTCATGTTATGTATGCTTCTGTTAGCAATAATCAATCAATTGGTCAAATAATAGATGGGCCAGGTAAAGGAAAGGACTTTTAAATTATTTCTTCACTACAATTCTTCAGAGGTATACAAGTGGAAGGGGGAAAAATGGTGTATAAACACCTTTACAAGTTACCCTCTAGACTCTACAATTAAGTATAATTATTTTCAAGCAGATCTTTGGGTGGCTGCAATACAGTATCAAATCGGCAAGGTAGTATCGAATTGGCAGGACAATATCCAGTATACGCTCTCCTTGCCCCAATCTGCTTGGAGATTACAATACATTATGGAAAAAACACATTAGCAATAATTTACCGTGAATCTGTACAGGTACAGAGCAGGAGAACTGTCCCCGGGTGTTGCTCAGTATGCAGCTGTATTCTCCGGAGTCGCGGGTTTGCGCATCACGGATCTCTAGGGTGCAAAGGTCGCCGACCTTACGGACAGACAGGCGGCTCGTCTCAGTCACCTTGAAAAAAAAAACACAGAAGAAAAAAAAACGTTAATTTCTGTTCAATTTTCCTGTTTCATTTAGTTTTTAAGTTAAGAAATCTTATTCAGAACTCAACTAGGGCAATTCTATGTTTTGAAATATCTATAATTTAAACATCTAGGACTTGCAATATCTGACGCAACATGTCACAGATGATATCGAAGTAACTGATGATGATGATCAAAATGGCGTTACTTCTTCAACTAGGAACTAGGACAATTCTATGACGTCTTGAAACAACTAAGAAGATATCTTGCACATTCGATATCTGACAAAACATTCACAGATGATCACAAAGTAGCAGGGATGATGATGATTAAAATGGCGCACCTTCCTACTGTCCTTGAGCCATTCGACCTTGACGTCATCGCCCTTGACCTGAGCTTGCAGGGTCACGGTTTCCCCGACGCTCTTGAACTGAGGCGAGGGCTTGGACACGAAGTCAGGCTGGGCAATTTCCCTGTGGAAGAGATTACTTGTTCAGTACCATGGACAACTCAATTCAATACATTTTACAATGCTTCAAATAACAATGATCATGATCAACTGTACTTTGCATTTCAGGCCACTTTACAATAATTTTTTAACAACAGTAATTCTGTGCCAGCATTATATGATACAGCATTATACATGTACATATGAGTATCAAAGGACTTGTACGGTGGCTTTGGTCTTGTAACAATTGTAGCAGAATTGGGCAACGGCTGTCATATCACCTACCATAAAAACTGAAGTAACATGGTAAGAAAACTAGTCTAAAGTAAACTCACTTTTCCATCTAGTTCAAGTAAATTGACTCTTTTCCATCTGCTAAGTGATTTGGAAGTCACACTCCTGCACTATACAGTGTTCTAACATCATTTTTCTTAGACTGATCAGCTCTATAGCCGAGTTAAACTCACTTTTCCATCTGCACAGTGATCTGGAAGTCACACTTGATGACCCCCCCGTGTGTGGAAGCCTGGCAGGTGTAAGTTCCTGCATCTTGTACCCATGCACTAGTTCATGTTCTGTTTTATCTGTTTTCTAGCTGACTAAAACTCACTTTTCCATCTGCACAGTGATCTGGAAGTCACACTTGATGACTCCTCCCCTTGTAGAAGCCTGGCAGGTGTAGGTTCCTGCATCTTCCTGCAGAATCTCAGCGATGGTGAGCGTGTGCAGGTCTCCGCGGGACTGCTGACGGAAGTCTGCCGTGTTACGCAGGACCTGGCCGTTATGAAGCCACTTTATCTTAGGGTCACCTGCGGTGGGAGGAAACAATCAATATATCAATCAATAAATCTGCAAATCAACGGATCAACCCCCATATTGTTTACCTATGAAGCTAAGCCATCTGATATTAGACTTGCCTAAATCAATGCCTGCTCTAAATGTTGATGAATGGTTTGATGAATAAATTAATCAAATGAAAGACAGCTGTTAACAGCACAATTAACAAGGCTAGAAGTACATGTAGAAGAATAGTGTAGAGCTAGCTGCTAAAATTTTGAACTTGTCTTAAAATTATACCTGAAGACTACAGGAGAAGTGGACAAGATAAAGGTAAAGCAGTCAGCTTGAACTGAGGTTAGGTATGATGCTTTTTCAAGTAGCTTAGAGTGTAATGCAGCTTCCTTATGGCTTGCATTTACAGATCAATAAGTCAATAAAATTGATCAAATATTATCAATCCTCACCAGGGATGGAGGCCTTGAGGGTGATCTCCTGACCCGAGATGACCTGCATCTGTGTGGTTGTCGTGGAGACGACCTCCTCGGTGACACGTTCCTCGACGCGGACTTCCTCCGTCATCTCGCGCACAACCTGCTCCTGCACCAGCGTGCCAGAGCTGCGACGCTCGGCGGCTATAAGGGGGACAGGAAAAGGGATTTTAGTAATCTTTGTCCAGTTGATGATCTTGCAGCTCAAACCTGGCCAAAAGGCTGACCGCTGCAAGAGACAGAGAGGCCTGGAGACAGCTGTCCATCCTCACTTCTACCTTTTCCCCCCAACGATCAGGATGGGGTCAAGGGATGAGGTAGGTAGGTACTACGCACTCCAGTTTTTAGCTCACTGAAGAGCTACTCATCCACTAGTCATGACAGAGGACAGATGCTATGTACAGTATTTACAAGGAAATTTCCCTTAGCTCTTTTAAACAAGTACTTTGAACAGTGGATCACAGCTTAACTCCAGGTGTCCTAAGAATTGTGACTGTCATGTGTGTATGTCAGGTGAGCGACAACAGCTGGGATTTGAACTCCAAACCTCTTGGTCAAGAGTTGTATTTCAAACAAACAACAGACAAACTTTTGATGATGAGCTGGATTTGAAGCAACTGAAGGAATGAACCTTTGACTGTGAGTTGGATTCCAAACAAACAAACAAATAAACAAACAAACAGACGCACCTTTCACAGTGAGCTGGCAGCTTGTTGTGACGGATCCGGCCTCGTTGGTGACTGTAGCGGAGTAAGTCGCGGTGTCGGTGAGGGACGTGTCGTAAATCTCCAGATGGAACATTCCGTTCTCGCTGTAGATCTCGTACCTGTCTCCCTGCTTCAGCGTCTCAGAGCCCTGGGGACAAGAACAATAACATGTCTCAGAACACTGGGAACAAGAACTACAACTCTCGCTGTAGATCTCATACCTGTCTCCCTGCTTCAGCGTCTCAGAGCCCTGGGGACAAGAACAACAACGTGTCTCATGGTCTTGGGAACAAGAACAAAAACGTGTCTCATGGTCTTGGGAACAAGATGTACAATGTGTCTCAAAGCAATGGGAACAAGAACCACGACGATGTGTCTAACAAAGGCAGTGTCTATCACATACCCTTCTTAACTTTTTTCTAGCCTTTGAGACACCACAATCCTTGAAATTTACATCATAACTACATTTCCTTTTTCACTCACTGTTCCTTAAGTAGTCTTAGGTAGTTTTTTGCTTGAAAAACATACAAAACAAATTTGTTCCTAATGTCGAGGGACTATCAGCCTACCTTCTTCCAGACGATATCCGGAGCGGGTTTGCCGGACGCGGCGCAGCTCAGCTTGGCGATGGACTCCGCCTTCACCTCCTGAGACTTCAGCTCAGTCGTGAACTTGGGAGCAACAGACTGGAAGATGGAACATGGCTTAGAATTAATATCCATTGTTTTGAAAAATTTTTTTTTTTACTGCAAATTCTTGTATATATAAAGGTTGATATTGTAAGTAACAGGAAAAGGATGAACAGACAGTGAAGCACACTCAATGTAAAACATGTGACTATTCTAGTCTAAAAGTTGGCTCTAAATTGTAACTTGTAGGTTTGACTTTTGGTTTTTGATGTTGTACTGAAGGTATACAGCTATTGCATGCCCATGTACATCTAGTACATGTATGTGGTGATGGGGACACCTCCTGGGCTCACAATGACTTTTGTGCTTTCTGCATGTTTCTGTCCAAAATACAGATAATTTCAAAACTTCTTTTACCTTGGGCTTGACAGGCTTCTCTGGTTCTTTGGGTTTTGCTGGTTCTTTCTTCTTCTCAGGTGCTTTAGGTTTGGGAGGTTCCGGTTTCTTCTCAGCCGGTTTCTTGGCCGGCTTCTCGACCTTGGGCTCCTCCTTCTTCACGGGTTTGACCTCCTTCTTCTTCTTCTCCACGACCTTGACCTCTTCACGTTTCTCCACGTGGATCTTTCCGGCCACGGTCAAGGTGAACTCAGCACGGACCTGGAGGGCAAGTTTCCAAGAATATAGATTTAATTTCCAGGAACGTACATTGTCAATTTCATTTCCAGAAATATAAATTTTGAATTAAGGCTATACCAATCTAATTTGTTGGTTCTCCGATTAAAAGACATACTAGTATTCTTAACTGGAAAAACATAACAAAAACATTGAGGTTCAGGTTTATGCCTTGATGCATTTATTCAGTTTAATGGAGTGATACACGTAACCATATACCAAGTTTTCCTCTGCTTTTATTTATTTATTTATTGATTATCTATTAATCTTTCAGTAGTCCTTTCAGCTGTTGAAGGCTGATTTCCAAGGAGATTTATGATGTCTGCTTGCTGTATTTTTCACCTTGAAATGTCTGAGAAACAAGGAAATAAATTGATGTGGCCTAACAAAGGCTCAAACAAACAAACATGTACCTCTCCCTGTGCGTTATTGGCCACGCAGGCGTAGTGCCCGCTGTCGGTCTTGGTGATCTTAGTGATCTCCAGGGAGTGGGAATATCCGCGGGACACGGCGGTGTAGCGGCCCTCTGTCCTGATCACCTTCCCCTCACGGAACCATGTCACTACGTAAGAAAAAGTAGTTCCATTACTAGATGTTAAAGCCAAGAATCAAGGCAACCGTAAAACATATTAGTAATAAGACGTAAATGTTCGTTAGTTCCTATGACTTGAATTGATATGGCTTTGCATCTTCACAATGAATCAACTTCAAGTTGATACATACTCTGTAATGTCTAGAGATCTAGAACAAAACATTCTTCATAAAACTGATGATTTGGTATCTCATGTACATGTATGTGATGTTAAGGCTATCTGTATGTAATTATTCTTCTTTGGCAGTTATACATATTTTGTACACATATATCATATGTAATGTGTAATATCATGCTTTCAAAATTCAATCTTATGTTGTGTGCAATACTTCAAAGTACAGTACTTCAAATAATGTATTCTTGTAGTCTTCTAAATGGGCTGGGTGTGTCTGAAATAAACAACAAACAAACAAACAAACAGCAGGTGTTTCCTAGCTCACCTGAGGGTCGGGGGGATCCGTCCATCTTGCACTCGAACTTGGCGGAGCCTCCTTCAGGTGAGTCCTTTGTCTGTGGCCTGGCGGTGAACGTGGGAGGTGCAGGTGGCTTTGTCATCTCACCTGGTGGACAGAAAATAAGGAGAAGGTTTAACACAATGTTTATTGGTCGTGTCAAGAAAGTCACAACACATCTGGGCAGAAAATATTGCATCCAGAACTGTGCATGTCTAGTTCTATACCTGGATGGATTAGAGTTGGGATCAGGCAAGGTTCTTGATAGTCTCCACGTATTCAAGAACATAGACTTGCCCCAGGCATGGTTCTGAATATGTGCAGACTATCCAGAACTACACTGTATGTCCAAGCTTTGTTTTGGATACCCATGGACTATCCAGAACAGTGTCTAAGCACCATTCTGGATGAAGCATGATTTTGGATATGCATGGACTATCCAGAACCATGCCTGAGGATGGTTCTGGATAAAGCATGGTTCTGGACAATGCACGGTTTTGGATACAAGCTGAGTTGGGGAAGGTCCTTGGGTCTGGGTGGCTCCTGTAGAGAAGTAGTAGGGTGCAGTTCAGAGTGAACCAGTAGAGGGCAGATGATATCCAAGGGTTCATGATGGAGGTAGGGAATAAAATAAATGGTTAGGAAAAGTTCTTGGGAAGAGGCAAGTGGTGTCCTGCAGTACAGACTGAAACCAGTAGGGGGCAGAGTATCGGGGTATATAGTAGGGAGAGGAACTAAAGAACTGTTGACATCGTCAGGAAAAAGTCTTGGGAAAAGGCAAGTGGTATAATGCAGTACAAACTGGAACCAGTAGGGGGCAGGTCATGACTGGGGTATCAGGGCACATGATAGGGGGGAGAGGGATCTGTTGGAGATCAACGCAAGATGAAGGGAGGACAAACTAGGAACTGGATTTTTTTGTTCTGGGGTACCTCTTAGCAACTTGGAAGAAATGGGAAATGAAATGTGAAATTATAAGTTTGAGAGAGAGAGAAAACAGGTTGTATTAAAGGATTTCTGAATGGCGTGGAAGGGTTTAAGAAATAGTTTTGTATGATCATAAATTATACATCATTTAGTCATCAACAGCCAGAAGTGTTAGCAGCAAACAGAGCAAATGTGTTAGTTTGCTTTTGGTTAACGCCTGCAGATTCTGGAAGAGCAATAAATGACCACTACATGATATCATTAGTAAGCCATAATTGTTAATGAAGCATGATGTACTCAACAAATTGAATGCGGTGAAAGAAAAGATACGCTTTGCTCTTTCTGAGCTGCAATGTCTGGGGAATGGAGCATGGAATTACAGAATTGCTGCAAATTTCAGGTTTTGAGCCAATGTAAAGCAAAATTTAAGCTAGCAGCGGTAGAAAGTTAGTTGGAACAGTGGCCAGATTACTGTTCCAAAGCTACAATAATGCTTGATTGTTAGCCATAATTTTAAAGCAAGAATTTTGAAGCAATTTAAACATTACAATTACGGAAGCAGCCTTGCACAAAGCTACCTTCACTACTGAAGGTTCTAAGGCGTTTTTCTCTCGACGTCTGAAGCCCAGCAAGAAAAGGGTCTGTGCCCTTCCCAAGGAAAACGTCTTGGCGTTTCTCTTTAGTTTCTTCTAAGGCGTGTGCGTCTTCTTCTGCCAAGAAGGTCATCAGTCGTCGGCTCTTTGCTTCAGCTTGTAAAGCGGCGGCCTCAGCGGCTAAGCTATAGCCTAGCGGTAAGCAGAGGCATTGCAGTTTAACAGTAACCAATTCAGCAGTATGCTAAGCCATTATAGCATCTTGCAAATGGCAAACATGCATATTTTGTCAACAACATTTGGTCTTTAAGTAATATAATATTATGTACTACTTTTACCTTCCCTTCGATAGAATGTTTCACTCTGTTGGAATAAAGAATCTGATACATTTAATGTTGGGCAAGTTGAAGTATCTATAATGGGACATATAGGAATTTACCAAGTCTTATATATTGTGACAAAACATTGAGGGGTGTCTTTTTTAATTTTGTTTAAAACAATGTTATTGGCGCACATTAAATTAAATAGCTCCCACGACATTGCAACATAAAAAGCTTTAGGCACATCAGTCAGTGTAGATTGTTAGAAGGACTGTCCACAGCTACATGTACGGCACTGATTGAGTAACACATCTGGCTGCATCCTCGAGTTTTAGTGCACTCAGAATGCTTGATGAGAAGCCTGTTTGTTAGTGGCAGCAAAGAGCAAAGTTGTGAGAGCAGCGTTTTTTGTGAGAGCGGCGATATGAAGAAGTGCACCACAGCACAGAAGCAGCTACCTTCACTATTGAAGGTCTTAAAGCGTTTAGCTCTCGGCGTCTGCAGCCCCAGAAGGAAAGGGTCTGCGCCCTTCTCAAGGAGGGATTCTTGGCGTATCTCCTTTGTTCCTTCCAAGGTGGACAGGTAGACTTCTCCCTCCATCCTTAGAGACTCAAGGCGTTGGATGGTGACATCGGTTGTTGTCTCGGCCGCCAAGCTTAAGCCTATCGTAGCATAAGCGTTGTAAGCAGTGTAAGGCCAGAGCTGGCAATAAGCTTGAAGAGCTCAACAGCCAAGCAGCTGTATATAATATACAAACCTATGGTACCTGCACAGAGCAAAGCTGGCAGAAAGCTTCAACTATCTAAATGTATGTCTGAGCACAGCAGCTATTTGTATAATGTTGTAGCATCAGCTGCGTGTTGTGTGCAAACTTGCAAGCCAATATTGTGCAAAGCACTCTGCACTTAAATAACATGCCTGTTTCTTACTTGAGCTATGAAATCTTAATTTACAATTTCTTCACCCCAGAACGAATTGTTTAGTACATGTAAAGTCTAAGAATTTCATTTTGTCAACAATAAATCTTCAAAAGGGGGAGGGCAACAACATTTTCTATACAATAAGTCTTCAATAGAGGGTAAGGGAGGAGCAGTTTTTTAACAATAACTTCAAAAAGGGAGGGGAGGAAACACCATAACACACTGAACATCAAGAAAGGGGTAAAATCTCACACAAGGGAACTGTTGGGAAAGGAAGGACAATACTTCAAAACAAGGATTCTTAAGGGTTGGGGAAGCAGAAGACTTGACAAGGACTCTTATAAGGGTCAAGAAGGTTGGGCTGACAAACATGTACCTTCTCCTTGTAAAGTCTTAAGTCGTTTTTGCTTGGCGTCAGCCAGGCTTTCGAGGAAGGGTTCGGGTCCCTCCTGTTCCGTAGCCTGGCCCTTATCCAGGCCGGGTATGAGCGTTTCCGTGGGAGGAATGGCGAATTGCTGCAGCCGTTTCTGCTTGCTTGCCTCTAGAAGCGAACCTATGGTTTAACAGTGCCACAGGCAAAGGGGGAGGGGGGGCGAAAAGCAGATAGAGAAGCAAAGCGTCACTGAAAGCAAAGGCAAAGCAGTACCTGGTATATACACTGAAGGCGAAGCTTGCAAAAGCTGCATGTCTTAGATTTGTCATCAAGTTACTGCAAGCTTCTTATGAAGCGGGACGAAGCAGCTACGAAGCTAGAGTTGTCTTAGAGTTACTACGAGCTTCTTATGAAGTATCTGAAAGCAGCTACGAAGCTGAAGATTTTGAATGCAAAGAAAGCAGCATAAAATGTATGTGGACTAGTTTTCCGGCCACCACCCAGTGATGCCGATATTTAACACCTACTTATACTAAGGTCACAGTTTCCAAACCAGAGCCTGGCTGGGCAGTTTGCAGGAATGAAAAGTATGAAAAACAAAGAAAACAAAAGATTGAAGAAAAAAACCTAATGTCAGCACTATTTGTGCATATTCTTTTTATGAATTATGTTTTGCTCATGCAAGCTACCCGACTGGGGCCTGGTTTGGAAATGTGACCTTAGCGTCAACAAGAGTTACACACGTTAACGTTACTTACCAACACTGAGGTTGACGGACACGGTGGTGGTTCCGCTCGAGTCAGTTGCCTCGACAACGTAATTTCCGGTGTCCTCCCTGATGACATCACGCACCACGAGAACGTAGGTGTTGCGCTCGCGGACCAGATGGTACACGTCGCTCGCCTTGATCACGATGCCGTTACGCTTCCACACAACTGTGGCCTCCGCTGGAAAAGTACAATTTTCATTTGTCAGCTTGGTTTGTTTTCAAATCTGCACTAAATCTGCAATGCTATCAAGATTGTAATTTCAGTTGCAACTTCAATTCTTCATTCACTTTAAGCTCTATGCGCTAGACTATCAATTTCACTTATTAAGTACTTTATGAACTGTATTTTACATTGTACATGTTGTAATGTTAGCACTAGAATTCAGTTTATGGGCTGCTATTGTCGAGATATCTGTCAAAAAACCTTTAGTACTAGATATCTATTGGCCAAAGCTGGAACTTCTTTTGAAGAAGATCTTGTATGAACTGTTGATGACAACTTTCACTGTTGAGACTATCTGCATGCCAAGACGTTGACCACTTTTACCCTTAAGACCCAAGACGTTACTTACCATCGAAGGACACCTCCAGTCGTGCGTCCTCTCCATCAGCTACAGTAAAAGCTGTCTCCTTGCTGGTGAAGACTGGACCGGTACGGGGAGGCGGTACCTCCTTCTTAGGCTCCGGTTTGGGCGGAGACGGCGGGCGCGGCGCGGGCGCAACCGGTGGCGGTGATGCCTCACGGGCAGGCGGCGCGGCGGCAGCTTCCGGCTTCGGCTCCTTAAACTTACGTGCAGGTTTCTTGGGCTCCTCGACAGTAACTGGAGGAGTCGGCTTTACCGGTGAGGGTGGTGTAGGTGGTGTAGGTGTCGCAGGTGGTGTAGGCTCCTTCACAGGTGCAGCAGGTGGTTCTGCTACAGGTGTGGGTACGACTTCGGCCGCGGGCTCTGCCGCGGGCGGGGCAGCCTCGATCCTTGGGCGCACGATCTCCTCGTAGCGGGGAGGTGCGGGGGCGGCCACGGTGGGAGCGTCGGTCGGCATGTGCCACACATAACCCACCTGGTCATGCTCTTCTGTAAGGGGGAGAGGAAAAACATTCAGAAGATAAGTACATGATGTTTTCTACAGTTTACACAAACAGATACAGTTACTGTAGTAGTAGTGGTGCATTCATTTCATTCCCATTGTTTGAAAGCCATGGCAGCCTTCAGGTTGGATTGTAGACTCTTCCTACATATCTTATACAAAATCATTGCAGGAGGTACAATATATGAAAACTTGTACATGTAATAATAAGTTGAACTTAATATTCATAATACAATGTATGTAGTCTAGTAATAATTCCTCATTTAAAGGTTACATTTGTATGTATGATTGTCAATATGATGTTTGAGAGGGATGCAAGAAGAGCAACACATGCTCAATCAGGGCATACAGGGTGCTATATAGATGGTACTGTATGTGCAGAACAACAAATGTTGCGCTCAGCAGGACAAGGGTTAAGACATAAGCAGGTGACGTACTTGCGACACTAAGTCGCCCGCGTGTGATGGCAGTTCCCAGCCTGTTGGTGACAGTACAGCTGTAGTCTCCAGCATCCTGCAGGGACACCTCATAGATACACAGGGTCAGTACGCCGTACACGTGCTTGAACCTGAACTTGTTGTCTTCCCGGATCACTTTCCCGTCCTTCGCCCACTCTACCTTCGGCTTCGGGTTGCCTTCGGCCGAGCATGTGAACTGGGAGTCAAAACCTGCAGGGGGAGAAAAAAGCAGCAGTTAGCAAAGTGTTCTGATGATTAATTCAAATCAAAGGCTAATGTACAACAACTGTAACAGGCACATGTACATGTACAGTGTAAGGCAAAGTATTCTATAAAACTACTACCTAAGCAAAGAATTGTACAAGACTACTATAATTAGAAAATCAGAGCCTCAAACTTTAAGTGGAAAACAACCACAACTGAGCAGAGTATATTTTTTTTGCCAATTTTTCAATAAATTAGACTTTGCATCTTTGCTTATTTTGAAAAAGTCCAGACAACACATAGTACAATGACCGTAGTGACCAAACAAAACTGTACTGATTGGCCAATAGAACAATGTCTGTGTGCTAATTGGTTAGTCCAAATGCTGATTTGCCAATATATATAGAACAATATCTGGGTGCTGATTGGTGGGAACGTACCTTCGATGACGGTGTGTTCGCGGAGTCTTCGTGTGAAGACGGGTGCGGACTCTGCTCCGAGACTCATCTTCTTGTCCTTCCTACGCCGAGCGCTGGAAGCGGCCGAGCTGCGGCTCTGCCGGGTTCTGAAAGATCCACGCGTCCTATTTTTAGTAACATCAATATGGCGTTAGCATAAGGAAGAGCTACAGTATAGGAACCAGGGATGGCTGGGATGGAAGAACACTTCTCCGTACATTTAACAGTCTTAGTTTTTATATGAGTAGACACAGATTCTAACATGAATATGGGGTTTGCAATATGAAGGGCTACTGTATAGGAACCAAGGGCTGGGATGGAAAAAAATCAACAGTAGAGGGAGCAACTTGGTAAGAAATGGGAAGCAAGAACCTTTCTGTCTATTTCTTTATACATTCAACAGTGGCTTTGTGACATTCCAACAATGGTGGGTAGAATATATCCTAGTTAAGACATTGCTTTGCACATCACAAAACAACATTTGCTATTACATGGCAGATTTACTTCTGCAAAAATATATCCAAACTACCATCTTAGATGGTTTGAATGTCTCGAGACGTTTGTTTACCTGTCAGATTCCTTAGAAGACACGGAGCCTGCGGGAGAGATGGTGGAAGGCGGTTGTGCCATGTACTCCTCGGCCTGAGCCACTTCAGCGCGTCGCCGCGCCTGGTAGTACTCCATACTCTCATACTCAGCTCTCTGGGAACGCCACAAAAAAACTCTTGTTAAAATACAAGAGAACCAGAAATATGCACTATTTACAGGCCAATCCAGCTCTAATATCTAATACCAGCTCAGAAAGGACAAGAAATAGCCATGCCTTCAAGTACCAGAGTATTTTTTTCCTCAACTCTCTTTCTCAGCTCTCTGGAAACCCCAGGGAAAAACACACGTCTTGTTAAAAATACAAAGGCCAGAAATATGCACTGCCAATCAGGAACATTCCTAGTATTTTTTTAACAGTCAAGGTCTGAACAGTCAAGGCTAAAAAAAATTAAAGTTTCCCTGGTGCTGAAATGCCATCCAATCACTGCACTGTAGTAAAACTGCTTTGTGGACAGCAAAAAAGTAAAGAAAACAAAGAAAGAGTGAAGTCCTTACCTCGTATTCTGCATATGCCAGGGGCACCAGTGACGGCACACTGTCCTCTATCTCCATCAGGTGTTGGTAGGGAGACTTGTAAGGTGTGGCCCTGGGGTGGGGGGAAGGTGGACAGGATTTTAGAATCAGAAAACCAGAACTTTGAAAGTCCTGCAAGCTACGTACCTAAAAATTTACTTCAGTGGTGCACAGTAATAATTTTGAGTGAATACAAGAAAACAAGTAATATACATTTTAACAAAGGTCCTATTATTTTTTCTGGAACTGGAATCCTAAGAACATTTGTACACTAGTGTACAAGAGTACCTTTATGAAATTAGTAACTCCTCTAAAATATTTACATGTACATGTAGAGCAGAGAGCTGCACCCATAATCAAAAACTTGGGCAGGTGGTTAGAACGCATTGAAAGTGCCTTTAAAAGTCCTGAATGCTTTTCAGACAATTTTGCTATGAAAGTTGCTGATGGCCACAAGTCAAGACCAGAATGTTGCCATCTTTCAGACAAAATACAACAAATTATACCTTCAGATCTGGACAAGCTATGAAGAGAATCTAATTTCTTTTGTGTGTCCATACCAAGGGGTAGACCATGTTTCCTGATATCATGTTTCAGTTTTGTTGTTACATGCATGTTTTACATACATACTGTACCATAGTTTTCTTTCTGTTGAATATTGAAAAGTCAATAAATGAAGACATAAAAAAATACGTACTTGACATAGTCTCTGCGGACTTTGAGCATGGCGTCACAGTCGCTGGAGCCACAGGAGTTCTCAGCCTTGACTGTGTAGAGCCCAGAGTCCTCGGGGAGACAGTTGTGGATCAGCAGGGAGCAGGACTCGTCGTCCTCAAACACAAACTCATACGGAGCCTGGTCATGGATCGGCATCCCGTCCTTGAACCTACAGGTGGTAAGGAGGTGTCAGGTTACGTCTTGAGACAATACAGGTGATACAGAAGTGTCAGGTTACGTCTTGAGACAATACAGGTGATACAGAAGTTTCAGGTTACGTCTTGAGACAATACAGGTGATACAGAAGTGTCAGGTTACGTCTTGAGACAATACAGGTGATACAGAAGTTTCAGGTTACGTCTTGAGACAATACAGGTGATACAGAAGTTTCAGGTTACGTCGAGACAATTCTGTACACTGTATGTAGGGTGAGCTTTCATTCAGATGCTAGCAGACTGTAATTACAGATTTTTTTACAGTAGTTGTCAAAAGCAGCTGCAAGTCATCAAGGCAAGGCCTTGTACTGTATTGTACAGTATGTTCACTGTTAAATTAAAATGTCGTTTCTGTACCTTGACTTCTGTGAACATGTCTACTTTCCTCAGACCATAAAATTTTGGTACCATGACGACAAAGTGAATTACAGTATGTTGACATATTGAAAATGTTGAACAACTTAAGCAGAAAGTATGCTACACACCAAGTATAATATACTCGCACCAAGAATATAGTGAGATTTTACAGAAAAGAGCATGTAGTTCACACCACTGGTAATCACCAGTAATCATTCACTTGTCAAACAAACAAACAAACAAACAAACAAACTCACCAGGACACGACGGGGTCTGGAATACCGAGCACGCGAGCGTTCAGCCGTGCGGTGTCTCCCTCGGCTGCGTTTGTTTCCTCCAGTCTCACCCTGAAGATTGGCTTCACAAACTCTGCCTCAGCAACCTTCCTCGCTGTACAGAATAGAGGGAAAATTTAGCCAAGGGAAAAACCATATATATGCATGTTACAAGACTGGTTGTGTGGATTTAATTGTTAATCAAGATATCACGGGTCTAGAGATCAGTCATGGTATGTTTTTTTTTACTAGAACTTAGAGACTAGACTGAAAGAGTCCTTCAAGAAAAACTGACAGAGGAAAATTCCCTGTTTCTGCCACAAAGATTTATCAGCTCTTTAATATATATATATATATATATGCATAGATATACAATTTATTCAACACATTAAGGTAAATGTTCTAACAATCTTCTTGCTTTGTTCAATGGTTTGTAGGCTAAAGAATTCATGTCAAAGAACATTTGAAGGCCTATCTTGCTGCGGCATATTGAGAAAAACTTAATCACAAATGTCAGCAAACTTGTAAGGTTACGTACGTGTGACATGAAGAGTGCAGCTTGTGGACATCTCGCCGTACTCGTTGACGAAGGTCGCCGCGTAGCTCCCAGCATCCTCCAGTGTAACGTCGCTGATCTCCAGGTTGTACAGTCCCAGCTCCTCCACCATGCGGAACTTCCCGTTGGTCTCCAGAGCGTTTCCATCTTTGTACCAGCTCACCTGTGAAGGAGACAAAAAGATCTTTGTGGTTAGGGTAGTATAATCTAAAGGTTTTGGGTTCGAATCCCTGACAGGGACCACCATTGCGTCCTTGGGAAAGGCACTTTACACCTAGTACATTGTATTTTTGACTTGTGGTAAGGGTTGTTGACTCAGAGTCTAAAGGTTCTGGGTTCGAATCCCTGGCAGGCCCCATTGTTGTGTCCTTGGGAAAGACACGTAACTCCTAATCCCTCACTAGACTTAGGTGAAAATGAGTATATACAAGTAGCTTAGGGATCTCCTCTTGGATGGGATATAAAGCAAACTTTAAGCTTCTGTGTTTGAGGAAACCAACACATATTGAGGACGTTAAAGATCCCACATATTGATGCACTTATCGAAAAGAGTAGAGGTCCCTCCCGGTGTGAGTGGTTCAAACCTCACAGTCCGGTCTCACACAGCTTGTATTTACCGTACAGAACTTGTGTGTCACAGCTAAGATTGTTTACTGGTAACAGGCAAACAAACAAACAAACGAACCTGTGGCTCCTTGCATCTGTTGACGACGCAGGCCAGCCTGCAGGCGGTTCCCTGGTACACATGTCGGTCGTACAGCGGCAGGAGGAGTTTGGGCGGGCAGTCCGTCACCACCTCCTCCTCCTCATGCTCCGTGTAGTTGTACAGCTCCTTACGTCTGCGCGTCACCGTGCCGTCAATCAGGATCACCGTCAGCTCAGTCCAGCTGCGAACACGGCCAAATCTGCAGGGATTTTGTCACAAAAAATTGTCACAAAAAATTGTAACAAATAATTGTCACAAAAATTGTCATAAAAATTGTCACAAAAATTGTTTCAAAAATTGATTCAAAAATTGTAACAAAACATTGTCAGAAAAATTGTCCCCAAAATTGTCACCAAAAATTGTCACGAGATCAGGTAGCAAAGAAAGCAGTTTGTTGCATTTGATAGTTTTTACTTTCTATATATGTCTTCTGTGCAAATAGATGAAAGAAAACAAGTCTGACCTGTTCTCCACAGTGCAGGTGTACCTGCCATCATCGTCAGCAGTGATGTTGTTAATGATGAGGCTGATCCTGCCGGTGGAGCGATCATACTTCATCTGGTACTTTCCTCCCTCCTCCAGGGTAACGTCCTGGATGAGGATGATGAATGTTTTATCAGAATGTACATGAATCTTTATTGCATGTTCTTGCCCAGATGGGCTAAATGCACAAATGTGATCAACAAGATAAGTCACTCGCAGTCTAAAAGTTGAATGGCTGATTCAGTACAATACAATCTTAATCAAAACTTGTACCATCACAGAAAAACTACAAGAGAAACAACAAGGTGGTACAGCTGTTACTAAGGCTATTAAATCAAGCATGCAAAACCCTCACTATATACTATAGGGAACATGTATGTGATAGTTTTCAAGTCTTTCTGTCCTGTATTTGACTGTTCTGTATTTGTCTGTGTCTCTAGTGACTGTACCTTGCGCTCCATAGAGTGGAAGCCATGATGGGCACAGATCTTCTGCCAGGAGTAGGTTGTTTCTGCAGAGGTGTGGATCTTCAGGTCGATCCTCGCGGCGCAGCCCTCGACTGCCGTCACGTGGCGAACGCGGCTCACCTTCTTAGGGCCGAGATCGTCACGCTCAACTTCCAGGGTGACCTGTAATTATATTGCATAAATTTTGTATTTAATGGCAATGATACAATTGGAACAAGAGCTTAAGAAGGTGTACAAATGGAGAGAAGAAAAAACTAGTACTTGCTTCAGAACTGAGACACTTAAAGCACAGAACCAAACAAAAAGTACAACGTGTAGATTGTGCTTAGCAGCAATATAGCTTGACAGGATACATCCTACAATGTCTACATGTCAAGTACAAGAAGTTGTAGTAGATGTAAGGCTTAACTAGAAAGGCCAATATTTGCTTTGGAGCAAATACAGCGATGGGTTCACCACATTTTACGACATGGCAGGGAAAGAATGGGAAACACAAGGGAAAACAATGATTTACATTGATATAACTATAATATGAAGTAAAATACAACTAAAACAACAGTTGGATAGCTATTCCCTACTTTATTGGTTAGGATTTTTAATTGCATAATGCAAACTGTTGATTTTCAAAATAAATAAAAAAACGTCCATGCCCGGCATTCCAATGCTGGAGCAGGAAAGCTTGAAATACCTACCAAAACACTTGAATACAGACATACTGTCAGTATGGAAATGCTTCTGTGCAGGTGTTAATCAAGTTAAATCCCAACAGCCAATCAGCAAGAAGTATAGAGGAAAGCTGCATGCCTATTGGTTGATGCCCTGCATTCCATTGTGATGACTCATGCCCAAACGTGGTAAACAAGGCAGACTAACACAGTAATACATTTGCTATAACACAGCCAAAAAACTCAAATAAAACCATTCTAAAAGCCTGTATCACAATAATTTAAAAAACGCCTAGGGGTATTTGCCCACTGTACCTCCATACCAAATTTCAGGACCTTAGGCCCTAAAATGAAGAAGCTGAATCCATTTAAAGATATGGCAGGAGGAGGAGGAGAAGGAGGAGGAGAAGAAACATCAGAAAAAGCAATATGGTTTCACCACACCACTTCGTGGTGTGGTGAACCCATAACTAAAGTTTTCATACTTGATTGATTGCTAGATAGCTAGTTTCTATAGCTATCTGAAAATCAGGACAAAAGTTGGCAAACCTGTTTCTCGACGGCCTCAAATTGTTAATAAATATAAAGCTATAGCAGCATGATTGTAGCTTGTACAACACGTTAACAGAATAGATAGAGGGCTTAAGTTTCTATTAACAAAAGAAAATGAGGACAAACCTGTTTCTCGACAGCCTCGGAGCGGGCGACGCCACGTGCGGCCAGGCGGCCGATGGCGTGAGAAGCGGTGTACTTGTCGTACGCCCTTCTGCGGAAGAAGAACTGCCTGTGTCGAGTCTTGGTGATGTCAGTAGAACAGACTGTCTCCATGCCCTTCCTCAGCCACGGGTGCTCCAGGCACTCCTGGGCAGTGTACCGGGAGTTCTTGTCCTGCAAGGGATGAATTAGAAATGGTTTAAAACACTGCATTAATAGTTTACCAACTAGTAAAATAAGCTTGCATTTTCAGGTCTTTAAATACTGGATTTTGTAGCTTATTTACACCACATTATCAAAAAATAAACATGTATTTTCAAGTTTGGAATCCTTGTCTTTGAATGAATCCATCCACTGCTTGAATTGCACACAAAAAATTACATTACATGTTCAAACCGAAAAATTACTCACAAAGCTAAATGTATACAAGTAAGAACCGGCAATTATTTGCGAATAATAGGGACAAAAACAATGCTCAACATGAGGAAATGATACATGTTCAAGTTCATTTAAAAAATTTTTTTCTTCCTTACCTTCCAGAGCAGCCCGTCCACAAAGTCCAGGCACTCATCAGACAAGTTATCGAAGGCCTCAGCGTCAAACGCCCAGCGCTGTTCGTGGACGTTACGCTCCGTCTCCACCTGTGAACACAATACATACCACATTATATCATTGATTATTCAATCTTTTATTTATTTTATTCACATGGATTTTTGAGCATTAGATAGGAAGCACTTGTTGCGCTTATGTGAATCCGCTGCTCATAAAACATAATACAAATGTAAACATAAAGATGACATTATTCAATGTTGTCATGTCATCTCTTGGGTAAACAAGGCACAGGGAAAAAAAACTATGGATGATCTGAGGTTTATCAGGTGTGGTTAAACTAGAGGCACTTTCCTTAGTCAGGAACTCCCCTACTCTTTATGACAAGTGCTTCTAACAATAGCTGCATGGATGGTGAATTCAGCACCAAGGACAGGGTAAATCCAACACACCTACTCTTATCGTTATTGATGTGAAATACAGGTAAGTGTGTCGGCCTGAGAACTATAATACTGCAGTTCAGAGTCAGGTGGGATGTTTCTGTCTAGCTTGGAGAAATTTACAAACAAACAAACAAACAAACAAACAAACAAACAAACAAACAAACAAACAAACCCACCTCTGACTCTCCCTCAAAGGGTGAAGTCCCGCCCAGCAGCAAAAATTATAATCTTATTTGATGTTGTTGATTCCTGGTTTTTTTTTTCCCCTTACTGAAAAAGGTACAGGCTACATGTTTCCCCTGGAAAATAAACAATAAACCCACCTCAGACTCTCCCTCGAAGGGCGAAGTCCCGCCGAGCAGCAGGTAGACGATACAGCCGAGAGACCACATGTCTGTGGACCTGCCGATGGACTCGGCGTGGATCACCTCAGGAGCAACAAACTCAGCAGAGATGTAGCTCATGTTGATCTGGAAGGGAGGAATGGTTTATCATGAGTTCATTGGCCTTATGATCAGTAATCAAAAGCACAGATGATATAAAACTATTGACTTCTAAAATATTTCAGTTATGCTCTGTAATATCACAGCTACAGGCATATCACGCATCAAGCATATCACAGCTACAGGCTGAATTTTATACTTTTTTTTGGCATATAATAGAAAATTAAGTATTGTATTGGCTTCTTAAATATTCACAATCATTGTTTACATTCATTTATCACTGTTTGTACAAATCAAAGATCTGACTTTATCATAAAATCACAATCAACACTAAATTCTACTACATGCCGGCGGCAAGTTGCTTGCAACTGCTACAAAAGATTGCGTTACGTCTTAGAAATATTAATGGAATATTCTCAGACAACTGCAAGACATGTGCATGTATGTTACAAACGAGTTGATGGCAATAAAATCTGAATCTGAATCATGTAGAAGTCCTCACCTTCTGTAACTTTTTAAAACTGGTAAATTTTACTACATGCTGGTCAAGTCAAGTCAAGTGGTGGCAAGTTGCATTGCAACAGCTACATTATTTCCTATGAATACAATAAACAGAAATGGAATATTCTTGGACAAACGATTGCATGTAGAAGTCCTCACCTTCTGTCCAGGCTTGACCTGGATGGAGCGTCCAAAGTCGGTCAGTTTGACGTAGTATCCGACGTGCGTGCAGCACATGATGCTCTCAGGCCGCAGGTGCAGGTGCAGCACGTTCTTGGAGTGCAGGAACTCCAGTCCCTCGCAGATCTGCCGTGTGTAGTGGATGCAGTCGGCCTCGGTGTAGTGCACGCGGTGGTCGATCACCATCTCCAGCAGCTCGCGACCTGAGATGAACTCTCGGACGAGCGTCAGCTGATCGTGGGATTCATATGCGTCATAGAGACGGAGGACTCGCTTGTGGTTAAGCTTGTGAAGAAGCTCGATCTCCTTCCGGCAGGCCTGCTTGCGCTCGGACGTCTTGCACGTGACCACGACAGCGGCAAACGTGCGGCGGGTCGAGCGCTCAAGTACGCGGTACACGGATCCGAACTCCCCGTTTCCCAGTGCTTCCTTGAAGTCGTAGACGTCTTCGGGTCCTCCGGTGCTGATGAAGGAGGTGCGAGGCACGCACGGCGCTTCTGTGTCAACCTCGTCATCGTAGTTCTGTCGGAACGTGCTGCGTGTTTGAACCACGGCGGTCTCCATGCAGGTGCGGCCGCAGCCGAAAGCGTTCATGGCGCTAACCCTGAACACGTACTCATTGCTGCTCCTCAGGCCGTACACGGTGCAGGTGGTTGTACGAACCGTCATGATGCGGATCCACCGGTTGGACGACACGGCGCGACGCTCCACAACGTAACCTGGATAACAAAATGAATGCATGAAAAACAGGTTTATTTCAATAATAAAATCTATCTATCTATGGCAATCACTCAATATCTTTATTTGCAATCAGATACAAATTCATGTACAGATACAGATTTTCCGAGTATGATGACCGTGTCAGTCCCTACACCTGAGTGTGGGTCACAGTTGACATGGTGGCCTTCGCAACAGATAATATGCCATAGCAGCTACAATGATCACTGAATTAGGCATATTTGACAATTAAAAGATGAGTTATTTTACAAATAGTTACCACAATCTACATTCAGAAGAGCAGAAGAGGTTTACCTACAGCATAACATTGCTAATGCTGCTAGTCTAATGTCTAATGTGTATTATACTGTATGTACTCTGAATTCTAAAAACTGTAATTCACTTTATGTTCACAGTAGCAAAAGTTCACGGTCAGAGAAAAATGGACATGTAAGTTCAAGGAACTATATATTCACTGTGGTGACAGGTGCAGAAAAAAGAAAGACTAGGAATTATTTGTTAACCGTAATGATAAGTTCACAGTACAGAAGTGACAGTGAAAACAGTGAATATAACTGTACAGTGAAAAAATCAGGAATTACAGTAAACCATTCACCAACCTGTGACAGGAGAACCACCGTCAACAGTAGGCTCAGACCAGGACAGTTTAACGCTGTCCCCGGTCACTTCGCTGACCGCTGGTGGTTCCTCTGGTGGATCAGGCACTGCGGCCACCTCCAGGTTAATCGTAGCGGTGTCCTCTCCGATGCTGTTCATGATGTTTAGTGTGTAGGCTCCGGAGTCGTGGGCGTCCACCTCCAGGATGGTCAGGGTGGTCGACTTCTTACCAGACATGATCTGGAAGTGCAGTTATTCACAGTTACAAATGAGGATTGGACAAGAAGCAATGTTTATATATATCCCAAGAGAGCATACATCAGATGACCTTTTTAATCTGTACATAATGACATTTGATAATTTTTGTACATAATCAATTCTGTGTATAACTTTTACCGAATTGTATATTTCATGTCTACTGATTTTTGATGTCTAATGTTTATTGTTTGACTTGGTTCCGTATTGTTGTATTATCATTTCAGGTTTGGGAGGACAACTTGTAAAGGCGTTGATACACCTGTTTTGTCCTCCCTTCCACTTGTTTTTGCATGTGGTAAATTCAAATAAAGAAATAAAGAAAGAAAGAAACATCTTGCCTGCCTGCCTGCCTCTGTGTGTTTCAACAAAATGCATTTGAAACAAAACAAGAATAGCTGCAATACATTACCAAGAATGTAAATTATAGATATAGACAAAACATAGCATATTTCCCTATCAGTCAACATCTCCTGTATCTAACTTTAATGCTGCATTTAGTCACAATGGGGCATGAATATGCAGTAAACTTCATTCTGTTCATGGTCTTCATTGTCATCACTACAATGTATTTAAGGAACACCACATGGATGGGAAAATAAACAGAAAGAAAGAAGAGAAGTTGGTGTAAATCAATTACCTGGAAGTGCATGCCATCGTCCACGATGGTCCTTCCCTCCTTCTCCCATGTCACCATGGGTGCAGGGTCGCCATAGACGGGCACCTTCAGACAGACGCTCTCTCCACGCTGGATGTTGATCTTCTTCTTCATCTCCTCGGGAAGGTCTATCTTCGGGTCACCGCGGATGGAGAGCTGCGCGGAGGCAGTCACGGCCCCGGCGCTGGAGGCGGCGCGGCAGGTGTACTCTCCGCAGTCCGCCTCGTGCACGTCCAGGATCTGCACCTTGATGTAGCCTGGCTCCTTCACAACCTAAATAGGAATAATGTATTTCATTACCATAAATACATACTACTGTCAGTCAGTCAGTCTCAGAAGACTGTAACTTTACTGTGCAGACAAACAAAACAGGATGGCTCAGTTGCTAATTCTTCATCAAAGTTTACCAAATCAAATTTGAGCCTAAATTCAACACAAATGCATATAATCAAATGAATAATATTGCATATCATTACAATATATGATAGAATTACTGAACACCTAATACCACTGTGATGAGACTTTATTGTATCTTACTTCACTGCGTTTGTTATCGCCTCACAACAAATATTGATTGATGCACTTATATTTTATAAGGTTTTTCCAACTCGTCATGACAGCTAGGCTTCTACCTTTTATTTTATAACCCTGGAAATACTTCTTAAAACATTTTTACCTTTTCTGCATTCCATTTGTAAACATCTCTCGATTCTAACATAATGTTTTCATGCATTTGATGAGCTATTTTGGCTGCCATGTTTGGGACAATGTTTCAGAAGGAACGATTCCTACCTTGAACTTGTCGTCAGTCTTGAGCTCCTTGCCGTACATGTTGTAGAACTTGAGGATGTAATCGGAGGTGCAGATGATGTGAGCGGTGAACTCTCCGGTCTCGCCCTCCCGCACCTCGCAATCCTGCGGCTTCCGCACGAACCTCGGCAGGATGATCTCACGCTCGTCCTTAATCGTCACATACTCGCACGCGTCCGATGACGCGCTCACGCCCATGGCGTTCTCGCTACGGATGCGGAACTGGTACGATGAGAACTCGATCAGTCCGGTGACGGTGTAGGTGTTCTCGGTGATGAGGGTTGGGGTAACGCGGTGCCAGTAGTTCCCGGTCTTCTCGCGTTTCTCCACGATGTAGCCAAGGATGATGGTGCCACCGTTAGACAGCGGCTCGTCCCACCTCAGCTCAACCGAGTCCTTGTCTACAGACACCACCTAGAGAATAATGATAATGGGTTTTATTAAAAGAACTTTTGGTAGCCTACGGCCTGAATTACATGTTCCTATTACTACAGTCAGTCAGTCTCAAAAGACTTCACTGCACAAACACAGGATGGCTCAGTTCTCAACATACAAAATAATGTCCAAAGTTTAATTTAAGCTCATTGTTCATGGGGCCTGCTTGGCCGCATTAGCAGTGTGTTACATGTTCCATACATTAGATAAAAGGTTGAACAACATATGTAGCATTCTTTATAGGTTTGTCACAGACAAATTCATTAAAAGATTACCAGTTGAGCTAGAATGTATGTATCAACAGCAAGTAGAAGCTGAGTTTGTATAGCCCCACATCAGAATGACACCATAGCAGTTAAATATGGTCAAATATTATTAATTTCTTTCTGTTAATATCATATACTCGTATGATTATGTAGCCATGTATACAAACCTCGGGCGGGTTCTCGATCCTGTCAGGCTTGCTGTACAGGTCCTCTGCGGTGACTGGCTCCGTCGTGTCGAGCGGCTCGCTCAGTCCGACGGCGTTCTGAGCCATGATGCGGAACAGGTAGCTTGACTTGTTCATCAGCCGCGTCACCCGACACCGCGTCTCGGTCGCATATGCTGTCACCAGTCTCCATGATCCCGCCGAAGGCTCACGCTTCTCCACGATGTAGTTGGTGATGCGTGAGCTTCCGTCGCTCTCCGGTGCCTCCCACAGGAGAAGCATCGAGTTACTGGTGACCTCTTGAACTCTGACGGGTCCGAGCGGCACAGTTGGCCTGTCCACAACGTCGACCACAACCTTGATGGTGAGGATGCCCTGGGAGTTCTCGATGTTGGCGGTGTATTCGCCACGATCCTCCCACTTAGCATCCTAGAGAAAGAGAGAGAGAGAGAGAGAGAGAGAGAGGTTTATTTGTACCGTAGCCAAGAGACAACTTCACTGTCCAAATTCCTACTTCGAAATCTTTTTACAGTGACAGTTTCTTTCCCCGTACGGCCAAGCTTTACAAGTGTGTTTCCCACCAACCTACAATCTACAGGTTTTCAAATCAAACGTTCACCGCCATCTCTTCACATAGCCATGTTTCTCTCATCTTTCTAGTTCCATGCCGAGAAGTGGTCGTATAGGCCTTGTATTGAACCACTCCGTTAAAAAAAGAGAGAGAGACAACCAACCTTGATGATCATGTTGGTGTAGGTTTCGGTGCTCTCCAGGAACATGCGGTTTGTTCGGCAGATCTCCTCGCCGTCCTTGGTCCAGGTGACGGTCGGCTCGGGCTTGGCCTTGAACGGAACCGTCACGCGGATCAGACCGGCGCTGCGGCCCTGCACGGTGTCCGGCAGCTTACGCGTCAGGCGCGGAGCAAACTCGTGGATGATGCGGGCGGAGGCAGTCGCCTGGCCAACGCCGTTGTCAACCTTAGAATGATAATAAAAACAAAATATGGTTTTATTCAGTGCTTGTAGTTATACAGTGCTCGTAGTTGTACAGACTAGCAGGGTCCTGAATTGCTGTCACTAACATTCACATTTCTAGTATTCTAATTTACTGGTCATTCCTACAGGTTATTACTGACTACAAATATGTTAGAAGCTTTTAAAGTACATAGAATACAAAATGATATATTATTAAGAGGATCTAGAGGCAGGGTTTTAATATTGTGTATCGAGAATCAATATCTAAATGTGCCCAGAATTCTATAGGCTTTGTCAGCAGGGCAAGCCCTTTATATTATTTCTTACCATTACCCACAGACTAGTTGGGCTGCCCTGACTGTGTATGCTGAACAGCCAACCAATAAAAATTAAATCAAGAAATTCCACAGTGCCTTACCTTAATGACATACTCTCCCTCCATGTTAGCCGTGGTGTTGAAGACCTCCAGCCAGAAGTTGGTGGAGTCTCCAGACATGCTGTACTTCAGGCTCTCGTAAAGCTCCACACCGTCAAAGAACCACTTGGCTGAGCAGGCGGGGTGGCCGGAGAACCGGGTAAAGAACCGCGCGTTCTCACCTGTGAGTTGTGAGGAAAGACATCAGGGTAAGACAAAATAAAGCAAGATTTGGGTTGTACATGATTTTGGTCCAGACTCCTACATTTGTACCAACTCCATAGACATATAATACTGTACATATACATGATGGTTACAATAATTTTGAATTTGGCCTATTAACAGTATTGTCAATGACATCCAGTTTCAAGGCCAATTCACTGTGTTTGATTCAGTTTTTCAAGACAAATTCAAGGTGTTGGTGCAGTTTTTAAAGGCCAATTCACTGTATTTGATTTAGTTTTTTTAAGGTAAAACCACATGGTATTTGATTCAGCTTTCTGCTTCTGGTTTAAAAGCTGGGCAACACAAGAAGTATGTGAGGAATCTCACCTGGAGCGCAGATGCAGTCCTCAGGTGCGACTAACACCTGCGGCGGCTCGCCCTCGACCTTTGCCCTGCAGACCACAGACATGGTTCGGCGGCTGGCGATGCTGTAACCAACCAGGTTCTGCGCCAGAACTCGGAACTCGTACGCATCACCCTCCACTAGGCCTGCGGTGGACAATCGCAACAAGCAAGCATGAATATTTGTCAGCAAACTTTTCGTGTAAATTTCTAAATTATAGCTGTAATAAAACTGTACTAAAAATAGTCTAATGTTAATGTTATTGTTACTGTATGATTTTTTATAATTGTATTACTACCAGCTTTATAGGACTACCTAGTAAGTAATCTTTAGCAGCTGAAAAAAGATGGCGGAAGTCATCTGAAAGCTTCAGATCTGTGCTTCATTTCTTAGTTCTGTGTATCAGTTTGATTCCATCCTTTTAGTTGTTCTTTATGTAACTCAAGGAAGATTAGCTGCATGTGACAATGCATGAAAACTAATAGTTATGTAGGAAAGTTAACAAGATATCCAAAGTATCCAACTAAAGTACTTGGAACTGAAACTAGGGCTTGAAATACTTCTTCAACTGATGATATTCTAGTAAAGAAATAAAAGAAATAAAGAAGCCCACCTGTGACGACGAATGTAGTAGTAGAGATGGTGTAGGATGAAGTACAGACGACCCAGCGGCGGGTGCCGACCTTACGGCACTGGATGATGTAACCCGTGATCGGGGTTCCTCCGTCGCCGTCAGGCGCCTGGAAGTTTATCGTTGCCGTGGTAGCGGTTACCGCGACGACCTCGGGTTCGCCCTCTGGTCGGGGGGGTCGGCCCTTCATGTCGCGGGTGAGCACGGCCTCGGACATTGGGCTTGGCTCGCTCAGGCCCGCGGCGTTCTCCGCGAGGACGCGGAACTCGTACTCGTTGTCTGCCACTAAAGCGGTGATGGTGTAGGTCTGGACCAGGATGGACGTCTTGTTCACACGCACCCAGCGGCCCACTGTCTTCTCACGTCTGGGGAGGGAAGGAAGGAAGGAATGAAGAGTTATTAAACGTGACAGTGTAGGTCTGGACCAGGATGGACGTCTTGTTTACACGCACCCAGCGTCCGACGGTCTTCTCACGTCTGGGAGGGAAGGAAGGAAGGAATGAAGAATAACTGAGCAAAAATATAAATAAAACACAATGCAGATGTACAATCTTTGAACTGAGTTGTCCAAATTTAATCATAGATGCAACTAAACAGAACCCAAAGATAGTATAGGATAGTATATAATAAGCATTGGTTTCGCAAAATAAAAATCACAGTTACCTGTCGATGTGATATCCGGTGATGGGAGCACCGTTCTCCTCAAGAGGTTTCTCCCAGAACAGGGAGATCGTCTCCCGGGTAACGTTGGTGATTTCTGGCGCGCTCGGCGGAGCGCCTGGTGGACGGACCGGGCTCATTGGGACCACGGCCTCGGCAATGGTTAGAGCATCGCTGCTGCCAACCTGTAGTGGTAGTGATTGGTTTATTTCTCATTAACAAATTCACAGTCTTGTAGTGCGCACGTCATGAACTGTCGTTTATACCTCGTGCTTTGAAGATTTTATCTCAGCATTCTACATAGTGGTATATTGATTTTATATAAATAATCTGTAAATATGGCTCTTTTAATTATTATGACTGTATTATATGAATTCTGTAAATTGGTGATCAATGACCAGATTTTAATATTATATCTCTGTCATTTTAACTTATTGGATAGTCCATGATACGTGCAGTGTTTGTGAAAATTCGACATATTTCATGTACCATATGATTGTGTGACATGCCAGCCGATTTTAAATAAACTGAAACTGACAGTTGCACTGAATTGCACTGAAAATACAAACCATCTAATACACACTCAGCTAACTGTGTACAAATGATTTTAAATTGAAACACCAAAATGTCTGATGCACATAGCAACTTTTAACATTTTGTATTACTTGCCTCGCACCCTCCTCTTAGTGCTGGCCTAGGCTTTACCAATTTTTCATCTTGTATGATTGAATGTACATTGCAATAAGATGATTTTAAATGCCCTATCTAGAAGAATTGTAGGGATAAAATTTTTACCTTGTTCTCGGCCGTGACGCGGAAGAAGTACTCCACGCCCTCGTCCAGCCCGGTTACGGTGTATGTCGTCGTGGAAACGTGGGCGGTCACCATGCGCCAGACGCGCTGCGTCGCCTCCCTCATCTCCACCACGTAGTGAGTGACCGGCGTGTTGCCCTCGTCCTCAGGAGTTTCCCAGGACAGCGTGGCTTGTGTCGCGGTGACGTCGGTCGCCTTGAGTGTTCCGGCGGGCGCGGAGGGCTTGTCCATGACAACCACGTGGATGGTGGCCGTGCAGCTTCCCTCCTCGTTAATCAGACGCAGGTCGTAACGACCAGCATCGTACCTCTCCACCTGGGGTGTAAAGATTCAGATTTTTCTTTTAGCTTTGGATGTTCATATTTACAAAATATGTAGCACTACAAGAAGTGCTGTGAAGACCTAGTCAAGTAAATGTAAATAGTAGTACAAGACATAGCATAGACATAGTAGGACATTTACACTGAGGCAGTCTTAAAACCACAAATTGAACACATTTATTACAATCATTCAATTTGGTTAAAGGAAAATACTTTGCAGAAAGAGATAAAAATGTAGATTGTAGAGTTCAGCAACGCATACATTATGTAACTTAGACCCAATATTACTTAACCTGATGTGTTTGAATATTTACACAACAATTACATGTACTAAACTGTATAATACAACAAGCATTAGCAGTCATCAGCAGTCATTAAGGTACAATATTTATTATCCAATAATACAAGAGTAACTGTTTTTACCTGCTTGATGACAAGCTGAGTGGAGATCTCGGTGTCGCTGAACATGACGCGGTGAGTCTGCACCAGGTTTCCTCCGTTGTGTCGCCACCTGGCACACGGGGCGGGGCGGCCGGACACGGGCACGTACAGCCTCAACACACTGCCAACCTGGCAGGGTACAGGGTACAAGATGTCAGATGTCAGAAGGCTTAGAACTGTATAAAATTATACATGCATTGTATTTAGAAGCTTGGCACAATCATAGGACGGAAGGATACAAAATAAATTGTATTTTAGCAGCAAAGTTTGGAAAAACTCTCCTTTTTGTGTTATGTGGTAAACTTAAGCTGCTGACCTTTCAAGATTCAAGATGACTTTCAAGACATACAAAAAGGAAGACAAGAAGAAGCTAGCAAGCTCAGAGACTAACAATGATCTACACGACTTTGTAGCAAACTTAAGAAACAATCTTAAGAAGTTGAGACAGACCTTAACGCGGACAGGCCTCTTGAGGTTCTCGTCCAGTTCTGCGACGGGCGGTACCCCGGCCATCTCGTCAGGCAGGGTGACGATGGTGACCTCGCTGGGCTGGCTCACCCCGCCCTTGTTCACGGCGCGCGTACGGAAGCAGTACGGCTTGCAGGTCTGCAGGTCACGTACGATCGCCAGACGCTTCTCCAGCGGCTTGGCGCTGGTCTTCATCCACTGCTCGGTCTCTGCAGGGCGAACCTGGAGGAGGAGTAGTAGAGAAGGGTTTATTTCTCTAAAAACAACAGTCTTGTTGTGGCCCTATATAGAGCCGAATTGTCAGTAATACTCATAATGTATAAAAGGCAATCAAACCTACTATATGATACTATACAATACAGAAACCTAGTGTAATACTATATAATACAGCCAAATCTTGTATGATAATGTTGTCAGTTTCTGTAACTTGGATCTTTATCTTAAAGACTATATTTTGGTCACCTGTCCAAAGTAGTCAAGTTTGTTTTTTTTGGAGACCACAGTAACTATAGATGGGCTTGACTGCAAAGGCACATTACAAGGGAGCACATTGCATTACAAGATGTTATAACAGATGTGCACATACCTCCATGTAGTATCCAGTGATGGGAGCTCCTCCGATGTTAGCCGGGTCGTTCCACTTCAGCTGCACAGAGTACTTTGCCATCTTGACGATCTCCGGTGCACCTGGAGGTCCCGGTGGGTCGATGGGTTTCTTCGCTTGCACGAAAGCTGTGGCCTCGCACGGTGTGCCTGTATATAGCCATAATACAGTAGTTAATCTTCTTTATTTGAAACATTTTGAACTAGAAACTTATTCCCAAGGGAGGGATGTAATATTAATAAGTACAATTATATCTTGTCACTACTGTATATATGAAGAAATCACACCAGGACTTAAACAGTTGAACTGGAGACTAATTCCCAAGGAAGATTTAAAATTAACCCCTGCTGGTGTTGCTTTTGGTTGAAGCAATCAACACCTAATACCATGCATAAGTAGATGGTTTATCTTTAAAACACAGTGAAATATTACAATTGATATCTCATACATGTAGGTTTTGTAAGTTTTCTCTGGTATGGTTTGAAATGCCCTATGTACTACAATGTCCAGTATCTTGCCAGTACTGCGTACCTGCTCCGGCCTTATTGACGGCGCTGACGCGATGAGAGTACCACAGTCCTTCGATGAGCTGCTCGGACTTGTAGTAGAGGGTCTGGATGTACTCCTTGGTGCACTTGACCCAGCGTTTGCCCGACTTCTCGCGCCTCTCGATGAGGTAACCGATGATCGGGCTTCCGCCATCGAACTCGGGTTCTGCCCAATTCACAACCATGGAGGTAGCCTGGACATCGGTTATCTAAGTGAAGGAAAGAGTGAATGAATGAATGAATGAATGCTTTATTCAAGTTAAAAATTTGCAACCATTTTGCTAATTTGTGGATTTCACTACAATACTTGGTACTTTCTAAAAGCCAATGGTAGCATTTACATTCATAATATAAAACGTCCTTTGCATAAATATGCAACAATTCCATTGTAAAGTTTCCATTACAAATGATTAGAAAAGGGTAACAAGTAATAAAAACCTAAGTATCTACTAGATGTTAATGTTTATTAGGAATCTCCATTAGTAATACAATGTTTGTTTACTAGTCTTCCTGGAGTCCTTTAACTTTACATTTAAAACATAAAATATAATCAATTACAAAGTTAACTTAATAGCTACAATTACAATAGATAATAATATTTAATAAAGTATTTTTTTTTGCAAACAGTACACAGATCTATAACTTCCTTAGCAACATAAGGCACAAGACCTTTAAGTCGGTGAGAACTGTGTACACTGTATAGTATACATGTATAATCAGAATGAAAGTCAGCCATTCCCACCTTGGCGTTTTGAGGAGCAGTTGGCTCTTCAAACGGCTTCCTGGGGATGATCTTGTCCGTGGTGTAGGCGCGGCCGGTACCGAACTTGTTCTCAGCCATGATCTTAAAGCGGTACTCACGGTTGTGCACAAGGCCTGGGAGTGAAGGAAGGAAGGAAGGAAGGAAGGAAGGAAGGAAGGAAGGAAGGAAGGAATGATTGAAGCTTTATATTGGTGTCTAAAGCTTTACATGTCAAGTTAAGTACATGTCTAGGCTCTTATGGGCTACTACTACTTATAAGACGACAAAAGAATATACAAAATGTATCAAGAGAACAGAAGAGCAGATTGACATAATCACCCAAAATTGAACAAAAAATAGAAACAAAGTACAATTCAGGTGTACAGAGTGAACAATCATTGAACTGATAATGTCAAATCATAGAATGCAAATAAACAGAGTTCGTAGATAAGATTAAAGCAAATATTTTCATAAACCAACAGAAAATGTTGTAGATGAGATATAAGAGCAGAAACTGGTACAGAAGTAACAGAAGGAAAAGAAAGTTCTTCCTACCTGTGATTCTGCATGTTGTGCGCAGGCAGGTTGTGACATACTGGAACGACGTGCTTCCAGCCTCCGCCTTCTCTATCAGGTAGTTAGTGATCGGGCTGCCGCCATCGTCGTTGGGAACCTCCCAAGCGAGGGTGACGGAGTTCGGAGAGAGGTCCTTGATTCTGATTGGTCCTCTGGGCGAGTCGGGCTTGTCCATGACGTTGATCTTGAAGGTTTCCTTGGCTCCGCCGACGCTGTTTGAATAAATGAAAAGATTATGAAATGAATGAATGAAAGGTTTATTCATCAAAACACGTATCAACATTTTACATGCAATTTGAAAAATACATGCAAAAGTAGAAGATAACATTTTCAAAGCAAATAAAATGCATAATGTTTACCTTCACATATGGTCTGCTCTAAATAAGACTGTTAATTCTCACTCAAAGACATTCATATGGTCAGACAGGAGACAGTCTAAATCACTCCTGCTATAAGATTGCAACAGGATGTAACCCAACACTAGTTACCATGGTGACAGATGTCTGGTTCAGGTCATTGACCTTATTGGTTTGGAGAGGAAGAAGAAACAGAGCAAAAACAATTATGTTTTTCTTCTGTGAAAGTGTCCTGTTTTTCTTTTTTTCCTTCTGGGATAGGAAAAAAAAGATACCTGTTCTTCAGGATAACTGAATAGTCCCCGGTATCGGTCCTCTCAGCCCTCTTGATGAACAACGCGACGCGGCGGTCGGTCTGCTCGAAGTCGTTGCGCTTCGTGCGGCGCATCTCGTAGCTGCCCTTCATCCACATCACGGTCGGACGCGGCTTACCGGTCACGGGAACATCCACTAGGATGTTGGCTCCGGCACGCACCTAGAGTGGGGTAAAATTGCAATTATCATAAAGCTTACTAATAGATAATATTGCCGAGAAGTTCTTAGAATATTCAATTGTTCCACTCGTCATCATTCACTTTTCTTTGCATTGTTTCATGTTGCAATATCAACTCTAGGGCAGGAACTTGCAAATAAAACTTTTATATACGAGTCATACATTGTAATCATGTTATCTAGTTATTAGTATATTTTATTGCTCACTTATCATTATTTTATGTTTCTTTCTTTATTTCTTTATTTGAATTTACCACATGCAAAAACAAGTGGAAGGGAGGACAAAACAGGTGTATCAACGCCTTTACAAGTTGTCCTCCCAAACCTGAACATTCAATGATAATACAAAACAATACGGAAGTAAGTCAAACAATAAACATTAGACATCAAAAATCAGTAGACATGAAATATACAATTCGGTAAAAATGTTGAAAGAACTAGTTGTTGACTCAAACAGGAGTGAACTCCAACAAGCCTCATTGCTTCATTTCCACAATGTTTTCTTTAAATTCGTACTTTTTATTCATACTTTGTAGTTGTTTTCAACATGTGCAAATAAGTAGACTTAGAAAAAGAAAAACCGAATCCCGTACCTGGTAGAAGGAGTCAGTCATCTTGATGACAGCTCGTCCTTACAGAGTTACTAGGAGTCTATCTGACATTACTGTCACAGTGTTATTTTTGTGTTTTAGACTTGTTCATTATGTATTGTACTACTGATTTTATCATGAATATACACCAAGTCTCGTACCTGGTAGAATGAGTCAGTCATCTTGATGACAGGCAGTGACAGTTCGTCCTTACAGAGCACGGTGTCGGTCTCGATTGGTTCGCTGGCGCCCACGTTGTTGCGTGCGGTGATGCGGAAGCGGTACTCGTGACCCTCCATGATTCCCTCGGTCACCGTGTACTCCAGACCACGCACCATGCACACGCGACGCCAGTCGTTCACGTTAGTGTCGTAAACCTGTCAGAAAATGAAACAAAAGGTTTGAGTGAGCGGTGATCCTGAAGCGGTAAGCATGATGTCCTCGGTCACCGTGTACTCCAGACCACGCACCATGCACACACGACGCCAGTCGTTCACGTTAGTGTCGTAAACCTGTCAGAAAATGAAACAAAAGGTTTGAGTGAGCGGTGATCCTGAAGCGGTAAGCATGATACCCTCGGTCACCGTGTACTCCAGACCGCGCACCATGCACACGCGACGCCAGTCGTTCACGTTAGTGTCACGTTAAACCTGTGAGGAAGTAAACCACAAGTAGATTTCAGTAATCATGCTAACTCTGACCTGGTAATCTGATTTGTAATTATACACATTGAAAATTGGTCTCAGTTTTTTTGTACACCTTTTATGAAAAAAAAAACATTTGACTAACAATTCTTCTATCCTACCAGTCTGATTTGTCATACTTGCTTACAATTTCCTTGAAGGTCTATATCAAATTCCTTCTAACATTCCGAATGATTTTTGTTACTACACAGCTTATCTTGAATTATTTTGTTCGTCTTGTGCTTTCCTTTTCTCTATTTTGTAATGTCCTTAGTTTGTCTTGATGACATCAACTTTGAACTTAAGTGTAGTATTTGATCATGATGTCTTGTCAGTAAATGGTATAATAATGAAAACAACAACAAAACCCACCTCGATGAGGTAAGACTGTATCTTGTTGCCGTAGTCATTAACAGGAGTTGTCCACTTCAGGGCAACGGTCCTGGATGTAACCTCCAGAATCTTCACGCTGGACGGTGGGTCGGGAAGCCTGATGGGATCCTCGGCCGCGACCGGAGCTGCAAGATTCAAGTTCAAGGTGTCTTTAATGTATAAACTTTTGCAGTGAATAACTTTTGCAGTCACTGAATTTTTTTTTTCTAATCAGTGCAAAGTGAACCTGATATCAACATTGTATATCGATTTTCGGTTCAACATAATGTCACATCAATTCCCCTCGCTTAAGTACACAGCACATTCCATCCCAAACTATCAAATACATTATACATAATACACAATTGCATGGTAAATAATTGTCATAAAGTAAAAAATCTCTTAAGAGGAGTTCAACAAGAATTGCAGTCAATTTACATTTTTTCACACTGACATAAAATGTTGCACATAATTTTGATTGTCGACAAAACTTGAAATAATTACAAAGAGATGTAGTATTGCTCTTAAAACTACAATTTATTGTTCAGTTACAACATTTAAAATCTCATACCTTCCATCTCGCAGGGTTCACCGATGCCGTACTCGTTCTCGGGTAAGACGCGGAAGTAGTACTTGTTGCTCTCCACCATGTTGCGGATGATACAGATGGGTTTGGGATTCTTGACGGAGATGGTGGACCAGGTCTGCCTGCTCATCTCACGACGCTCGACGATGTAGTTTGTCACCTGAAGTAAAAGAGAAGGATGATGATTAACCACTTTAAAGGCTTATCATTTATTTTTCACTCTTAACTCTTTCACTCTCTACACGTTGTAATTGTTTGTAATGAATTATAATTATTGATTTTTTTAACATACATAATCTGACATACTATTTCCACAGATTTCATGCTGCATTGCCACATTCTGTAACACATTGCCAGTTGAATGAAATAAATCTAAAAAAGTTACATTTTTGGTCACTTAAACACTTAAAATACAAGGGCTAAATCAAAAGGAAATCACATAATAGAATAGTGTTAAATTCATGGAGATGGAGATACTAATAAAACAATGACGATCCTAATATAACAAATAAACAAACAAGCAAACAAACCTCGCTGCCTCCATCCAGCTCAGGCATCTCCCAGGTGAGCATGCAGGACTTGGAGCTGACGTCCTTGGCCCGCAGGTTCCTCGGCTTCCCAGGCGTGTCCAGGATACGCACGGAGACCGTTGCCTGGGCAACGCCCGTGTCGTTCTTGAGCGTGATGGTGTACTTTCCGACGTCGGTGCGGTTCGTGTCGTCGATGAGGAACTCGGAGGCGTAGGGAGAGTTGTTGATGATGGCTCGGTTGGTGAGCTCCTCCTCACCCTCCTTGGTCCAGACCACCTTTAAGTTAATGTACCAGATGAAATTAGTTAATGTTCTACCATTCCTAAGTTTGTAGGTGTACATAGTTCTCACTAGGCCTCCCTAGGCTGTGATTTGGACCCTCTGTGCTGTGATTTAGCCCCACACACTGTGTTATAACCAGCGTCGGGGTGTTTTTTTGGGAGAACCTTGAAGTTCATAAATCTTTAAAAAATAAATTGAAAATACAACTTAAAATTGAAGCTATAACAAAGGGAAAACATTATCGGTACAAAATCTGTCCCTCAATAAGCAAGACATAGTGTCTCAGGGGGTTATGAGTTTAAACCAGACTTCAACAGCTGAAGGGACTACCCATGTGTTTCAAAGATTAACAAACAAAATTTGACAAAAACTGACCTCGGGTGTGGGTTTGCCGTGGATGGGGACGTACAGCCGTAGCGGATTTCCGGCGCGAACGATCACGACCCGGCGCAGACTCACGTCCAGCTCGATGGTCGGAGACACCTGCATGTCCTTCGCGGTCACCACGCCGGTCACCTCCGCTGGCTCACTCATACCCGCGATGTTCACCGCGCTCACCTGGAGGGAGGGAAGGAACGAATGAATGAACAAATGAGGGTTTATTAGATATACTTAACACAGAAGATACAATTGTTTTGCAAGACTTGTATGCCAAGAAACTCATATTCTGATATCTTTGTGTGTTTAAGGGTTTCAGACATAATAGTTTGTCTAGTATTTAGTCTCCTTCTATGAACCTCAACTGCAATGAATGAATGAATGAATGAATGAATTAAGCTTCATTAGATGTACTCATCACAGATTTGTATGCCAAGAAACTCATATACTTTTTTGGGGGTTTAAGGGTTTCAGGCATAATGGTTTGAGTATTAAGTCTCCTTCTATGCACCTCAACCATAAAATGAATAAACAAAGGACTAAAGCTTCTGGTACAGAAGTAAGAAAGTTACCTGGAAGTAGTACTCAGCCCCAGCCTTCAGGTCGCAGGCTGTCCATTCTGTGATGTGGATGACCTCCTCCTGGTGAGCTCTCACCCAGACGTTACTGTCCGTCTTCCTGCTCTCCATCACGTAGCCGATGATGGGCGCCCCGCCGTCGTAGCGAGGTGGTCCCCACGACAGCGACACGGTGGAGCGGGTGGTGTCGGTTACGGTTGGTCTGACCGGTGGAGCCGGCTTGTTGGCTGGCTCGCGGGCGGTCACCAAGGCTGAGGGCGGGCTGGGCTTGCTCGAACCTAGTAGAATGGTTTATTATGACATTATTATTAAGTATGGTGGTTTGTGTTAATGTTATTTGACTGTGTGGTAGTTGTCATTTTTATCAGTTGCAGCCCAAAGGTTGAATTGATGAAGCAATATTACACAAATTGGCTGCAAAACATTAAAAAAACATTTTCTACACAGGCTAAAATCAAAAGGAAAAAGTTTAATGGTCAGCATATAAAAAACATTTTTACTACTAAAATCAAAGAACCCACATATTATAGAAGAAGTGGGTAAATTCGTCTTCCACTGCCTACAAAAAAGAAGTCAAACCCAGTAAAACTAGTACCATGCATGTTGTAGAATATAGTATAATGCTAGACGTAGATATACTCTCACATACCACTGTATTTTCTTTCTTATGTTGTTTGTAACTGCAATTAGCCCTCGGGCATGTATTTGCAATAAACTTTCAATAAACTTTCAATTGTAATTATCAACCAGTCATATATTATTATATGTACACAATGATTCGGTTATAATATTGAAATACTTTTAATAAAATCAGATAGCAAATCTAACCTGCAACGTTGAAGGCGATCACGTGGAACTCGTAGTCGATTCCCTCGCGTAGCCCGCTCACCCACATCCTCTTGTCTGTCGTCGGTTCTTTTGTTGCTGCAATCCAGCGGTAGCTGTTCTTATCCTTGTACTCCAGGATGTATCCATCGATGTCGGTGCCACCGGTGTCTTTCGGCGGCTGCCAGGACACGTAGATCGCATCCGCGCTGATGTCTAGAATCTCCGGAGGCAGCATGCCGGATGGAGGTTTGTACGGGCTGACGATCTTGACTGGTTTAGTCTCGACGAAGGCGCCGGTCTCGGCGTTCATGTTGATTGCAGCCACGCGGAACACGTACTCGTGGGCCTTGGACACAAGACATCAGAAACTTTATTATCAACATTCAATTTGGCAGATTGGCAAATCTGAATCGTCGCTAATTTACAAGTGTCAATATAAAAATTCTCGTAGAAATACAAACTTTAAGAGAAACATTTAGTAAAATATAACATCATTGTACAATATACTAAATAAATGCAATATTAAAAATAAAGGAACCAAATTACAGATATACACACCTTGGTGAGTTTGCGTATGGTGATGGTTGTCATGCGGATGTGCAGGGTGGCTGTCACCTGTTCCCACAGGCGCCGGCTGCAGTCTCTCTTCTCTACACAGTACCTAAAGATGTGGGAGGGTAAATTTCATTCTTAAGTCTTATTTTTTGTTTCCTACAGATTGTCTAAAATTTGTCTTCACCTACATATCTTTATCTACATATCAATTTATACAGTTTTTGGATAAATACCGGGTATTTAAATACAGATACCGTTATAATTAGTCACTGACAAAAAGTAATGGGTTGTGGATGCTACTTGAAACGTCTTCAAAGTTGTCAACATCTATCCAGTCGCTTGTGTCACAAACTGTTTTCTTGTGCATATATATGCATCTCATTAGTAATACCTGTATGTCTAAAATCCATAGAAGTAATCTCTACTTTTACTTAGAAACAAACCAGAGTGACTGGTCGAAAGCTCTAGGTTCAAGAACTTCTTTTGGATCAAAAGTTTTAACTTTAAACAACAAACAAACAAACAAACAAACACACCTCATGAGAGGCTTGCCACCGTCGTCAGTGGGCATGTCCCACTCCAGTGTAGCAGAGTCGTGTGTGACGGCCGACACCCGCATGTTCAGAACCTTCCCGGGCTTGTCCAGCACGTTCACCATGATGGGGACAACCTTGTCTCCTCCCTCGTTCTTCAGGGTCACCACGTACTTCCCGGAGTCCGCGCGCTCGCAGTTCTTAATTGTCACCTGGGAGGGAAGGAGGGAATGAAGCTTTATTAAACGTGTCCTGTATTTTTGTGTCCATCCCAAGTGGGCTGTAATATAAGACTTCAGAAAAAAGTATCAAAACGTATATGTTACATACATGTACGGATTGGCATAATTGTGTCTTGGGTTTCAGCCCATGTGTGCTTATAAGACACCAGAAGAAGATACAAAATATATGGTACATAACTCAAGAGAGCAAAGGTACAGACTGACATAACCAAAACTGAACGAAAATATCAATAATTAATAAAAATACAATGCAGCTGTACAGAATGAACAATCATAATCCAAACTGTGTCTCTATAATTATATATTTTGTCTGACCCTAACATGTCTCAAAAACCGCCAATTTTAGCTTCTCATGCTAAAGAAAGGTTAACAAAAAATTCCTTGAACTCAGATGTCAAACCATATTCTGAATGCAGATAAACAGAGTCTGTAGATAATAATGAGAGATGTCCCACCTTAGTGTGTGTGGCTGTAGTGTCGATACTGCAGCGGTCGGTCAGGCGGACAATCTTGTCATCCTTGGTCCAGGACAGGCTCGGAGTAGGCTTGCCTCCATACGCTACGTTCAGGACAACCGTCTTTCCAGCATTGTCCTCAATCTGGGTGAATGAATGAATGTCAAATTTGAATAAAGGGTTTATCTGATCATTAGGATCAGCCATTGAAAGTTCCTCACAGCCACTGACTGAATTACATACTTGTTACAAGAATTGCATTATATGTTCAAAGTCAAAAATCAATCAAAAAGCTAAGGTGTACATGAGACATAGCGGGATATTCTATTATTAAAAATTTTGTATCTGATTATTTGACAGCAGAAAAATAGGGAAAAGTACTGAAAGATGCTCTGTATATTAAGCAGATGATGTGTTTCCTGAACTGTATTGTACATTGAGTGCTCTTTTAACCTAATTCTTAGAGGTACTGTTTTGAACACCATTCTTGTAACACTGACTTTACAGAATTCAGGGAAGACACTGCCAATGTATGTTTCAAATTGTAAGAAACAATGAATAAAAGTAAATGTTAGTTACCTTAGTCTTGTCGGGCACGGCGGATGGCGGCCTGACGTCTTCGCGAGCGATGATGGGGTCGGTCATGGCGCCCGGGCTGGTGTACTCGCCGACGATGGTGCGCACGCGGAACGTGTAGCGGCGGCCGTACAGCAGACCCTTCACCGTAAACTGCTGCTCGATCAGGCTCTCGTAGTTTGCCTTCACCCACTTGGCTTCCTCCACGTCAGACTCACGCTTCTCAACGATGTATCCGGCAACCTGGGATAAAATATTTGATATGGTGTCAGATTGTTACCAGTTTTTGTAATAATTGATCATTAAAACTAGTGTACCACAATGATAGCTAATTTTAAGCTGATTTTAATCCGTTAATAGTTTCATCAGGTTGGTAAGTCACTGAATGAATCCAAAGGTGACAGAAGTGTTGGCTGAATAAAACACTTGGTTGTGTAAAAAGCTGATTTTAATGTTTCATGTAAGCTATACATGCAGTCCAATAGTCCAGTTTCTTATGTTGGAAGTTACAGCTTAAACTTGCTGGTTCACAATGTAGAGTGACTGACGCATATCGTATTTCTGCCAGATTTTACAAAAAAATTGAAGTTGAAAATAAAACAGACCTTCCTGCCCAGTTCAACCTCAGGTTCCTCCCAGGCCAGTGTGCAGGTAGACTTAGAAACATCCACCATCTTCAGGTTCAGCGGGTCCGGTACAGGGTCCCTGGCAATGATGGGCTCGGTGGGCTCCCCAGCCTACATTTTGTAGAAGATTCATAGATTCAAATTTATTGTAATCAACTTGCATGTCACATACAGCATTGCCTGATACGTACACGTGAACTCGCAATTCAGCTCACGGGCTGCGATGAGTTTGTGTCGAATAATAATAAATCATTCTGTAACATGAAATCTGTTAATTCTTCCATTAAAATCTTAAGTCTTACATAATAACGTAATCATATAAAGTTTAGAATAGAGTTAAGTTAAGTTTTTAATCATATAGAAGTTTTTCCAGACAGTTGTTACTTGTCTCCTGTTACTGTATTGCAATGTGTTTTAGTCTTGATTGTAAAAGCAATTAGCCTTCGGGCATGATTTTGCGAATAAAGTTTCTATAAAGCAAATTACACAAAGATATCAGTACATATGTAAAACATATCTAAAGGCAGTTGAAAAACGTTGGCACATACATCAAGAAGATGAAATCAAGCCACTTCAGATATGTGATATTAAAACAGATTAGCTCTAATTATTTATTGGTATTTATTGGTTTATTTGTTTGTATCAACATATCAAAAACATATCTCGCAGCCTTGACATACAGGGCTGAATTCTGATCAAGTTGTTTACAATATAAATTATTAATAGTAGGGAAATACAAATTACAATCATATCGGAATCTACATATTAATATATCACTTTGGTTCGAAAATTAGGTATTTACAATTTTACAATCCTACAAACTATTATTATCAAAAAGCTTCAGAGCTCTGGGAAGAAAGGACAATACGTGCCTCGCTGATGCCAGCTGTGTTCTGAGCAAACAGGCGGAACTGGTAGGAGACTCCCTCGATCAGGCCCTTGGCCTTGAACTCCTTCTTCTGTGTAGCGATCTGTGTGATCCTGTTCCACTGGAAGCCTGGTGTCTTCCTCTCCAGGTAGTAGCCTGCGATACGTCAGTGAAGGTTAGACATCCACGTAATGAGTTACACCAAAAAACAGTTACTCAAGCAACATTCTCCCCTTCCTAGACACCAACACTATTGTAGAGGAAGATGGTAACCTTCGTTTCGAAGTGTACAGGAAACCTACCCACACTGATCAGTACCTGGCCTTTGATTCCCACCACCCTTTGGAACACAAACTAGCAGTGATCAAAACTTCCATCGTGCAGACAACATTGTCACTTCAGACCAAGCCAAAACGGACGAACATAGACACCTCCGTGGTGCCCTGGCTAAGTATGGCTACCAAAACTGGACTTTCAACAAAGCGCTCAAACCTTCAGATCAGTCTAAGAAAACACAGAAGTGAAAACCACTGTTGCTGCCGCATGATTTTAAGAAATTTGTGAATAAAAGACTATTGTACCTGTGATCTTGCTGCCACCATCATCTGGTGCCTCCCAGCGTAGAACCATCATCTCCTTCAGCACGGTCACCGCGACCGGTGGAGCGGGCGCCGCCGGAGGGTCGAACGGATACTTGATCGTCACGAGTTCCCGGGTCTCGAGCGGGCGGCCGATGCCGAAGCGGTTCTCGGCCGACACGCGGAAGTGGTACTTGCGACCGGTGGTCAGCTCAGAGCAAGTGATGTTGCACCTGTTAAAAAAGTGTGTACAGGTTTGTTAGGACTTTAATGATGTAAAATGTATCTTAAATGTACACTAAAATGTAAACCAAATTATATGTAATACTACTATATGAAAATATATTTCTGACCCTAACTTCTTCCCTCATGAACTCAATAAAAAGCAACCTGCAGGTTTCCTGACTATTATTAGTATTAAATGTAAACCTTTGGCTAAGTATTTACCAGTGTTCTGAGATGATTTTAGCATGTATTTTAGTACACAGCAACTTGGCTCCAGTGCTATTTTGTGTGAAACCAGTTCATCCCACCTCAAGTTGAGCTTCTCATAAACAAACTTTTAAGGTTCAAACAAACAAAACACACAAACCTCTTGCACATGGTGCTGACAGGTGTCCAGGCACGACCCTCCATGTCCATCTTCTCGATGATGTAACCCTCGACCGTCGCGCCACCGTTGTCGACGGGAGGCTTCCAGCCGATGGTGGCGAAGTCGCCGCCGACGTCCAGAATCCTGAGCGGTCCGAGCGGCTCGGCGGGCGGTCCGAGGATCACCACGGTCAGCGTGCTCGTGTCCGTGCCGTGCTCGTTCTTCAGGACCAGCTGGTAGTTGCCTGTGTCGTAGCGGTCAGACACCTGAGGATACAGGATACAAGATGGCTTTATTATTTGGTATTTGCAGTGTGTAACACTGAATTGAAACTGAATTTACAATGATCACAATAAAAAAGTTACAATCATTATGTCAGACACCTTAAGATATAAGAAAACTTTGTTACAATTGACAGGCTCACGAAAAATCGCTAATTTACAATACAATAATTATATCAAATTTCACAAAGGATTAAAAGATAATTAATGCAAACAAGTTAAAATTATATGTGAAACACTAAGTTACACACAAGAATTTGGTATTCAAAATGCTGATTAAAGTCCATGCTGGTTAAGGAGTTGGATCAAGTACAATATGATAGATTTCAGGTATCTGTTTGTATTTGCTTTGGGATAGTCCAGTTTATGACTGTTCTGCATCAATCTGCCAGAAATTTATCTGGGTTCTTACCTTGAAGGTCAGCTGTGTGGATGTCTCGGTGTTGTTGACTCCGACTCTGAACGGATTCAGCGGCCGGTCGTCCTTAGACCACGCGATGGTCGGCTTGGGGCATCCCTCGATGGGCACGTCCACGGTGATGTGGTGTCCGGCCTTCGCGACGATGCCTCCGCGCGGAATCGCGCTCATGTCGGCACGCGGCGGGATGGCCTTCTCCTTACAGAGTACGGCTGTCTCAATCTCCCGGACTTCGCTGAAGCCGACAATGTTCTGGGCGCTAACGCGGAAGCGGTAAGACCTGGAAAACAGAAGAAAAATGTCCAGACTTTGCATCATGTACAAAAAGACTAATAAACTGTACCTAATACCAGCTCAGAAAATAACAAGAAATAGCCATTCCAAAGGTATCAACCAAGGATAAGGGTGTTCGAAAACTCTTCTTCCCTAGAACTATCCCAGAGTGGAACTCGCTGTCACCAAGTACAGTAGGGGAAACCTTACTACATAGCTTTGAACAATGCTTACAGATAGTTGTGGTACCAGGTGCTACTTATATGTCCTTGGTACTGAAATGCCTTCCACTGAAATACCACTGAGCAAATCACGTCTACTGATAAAACAGGAATATGTAAAACACAGCTCCAATTTTGGGTGCACTAAGGTACACAAACATGCAGCCAGTATTTCCAGTCCTGTCAATAGATAGCTTTAAACAACGGCTAGTACACAAATACAGAATGATACATACTTGCTCTCGTGGAGGTTGAGGACCTCACACATGGTGTCCCGTACGGTGGCGTACTTCTCCCAGGTGGTCTGTCCCTCCTCCACGTACTCCACTACGTAGCTCATGATGTCGGTCCCGCCGGTTTCGGTGGGCTTGTCCCACTTCAGAACAACTGCGTTCCTGTAATGATAATGACTTTATTAGCAAAAGCAGACTTACATAGTTAGGTCTGAATACATCTGATATACATGACATGATTCAGACACCTATTTTTCTACTTTAAAATCAATCACAATATTTTATAAAACAGCTAATCAATAATGGATTTAAAACACGAATCATATTTTTAAGATACGATGAATCACATGTAATCAAGAAATTATGTTGAACCCAGCTCGAGAGTGTAGCTTTGATGTTAAACATGTACAAGGTGGAGAGTGGTGGAGAACCAGCGGGACGACTACTACTTTGGAATCTAGAGGAAAAAAGGAGGATTGGTCGTCCAATCACAACACTTAAGGTTCTCAATCAGTCTGAAACTGGTCTGCAAGGATCGGAACTTCTGTCCGCAATGACTGACATATTGTACTGGAGACAGAACTTCACAAGCTGCACCTCAGCAGAGAATGAATGAAGAGATAATTAGGGAAAGCAAACGAGTTACTGAGTTACCTGTCCACATCAACAGCCTGGAGCCGGCTCGGGGCTTCGGCCACGTCGACCGGGTCCTGCGCTGTGATTGGCTCGATGGTTTCCTTGGCCTCGCCGATGCCATAGGCGTTCTCGGCCATGACGCGGAAGTAGTACGTCACTCCCTCCATCAGCTTCATCACCTGAACAGACAGACAAGAAAAATGTTCAGACTATGTACAAAACGACTAGTAAATCAGTGGATGTGCCAACTACTATCTAACATATAGTCAGTCAGCCTAAGGAAGATTAGACATTAAACTGCGCATAACAACGTTGGATGGTACAGTTCCCTTACAGTTAAACTAGTATCTAGTACCAGCTCAGAAAACAACTTATACCAGCTATACGGCTACAGAAGCTGGTGTGTTACACCAAAGGGCAGCTCTATTGGCTATACAGATGCAGACTTTCTACATGTATACTTGTAGAGAAATCTGATGAACAAATAAACAAATGTCTCTTAGCTTGGCTTCCCTGGCAAAGATTTTTGGCAAAGAAACAAATACTAAATAAATACAAACCTTGTAAGACATCTTGTTGCAGCGCGCGTCGAGCGTTGTCCAGGTCCTGCGGTGAGACTCGCGCTTCTCGACGACGTAACTCCTCGGGGCGCTGCCACCGTCCAACAGTGGTGGCTCCCAAAGCAGGGTACAGCTTGTCTTAGTCACATCCTTCACCATGAGAGTTTGCGCAGGCCCGGGCACATCGAGAACTCTAACCACGACGGAGGCGCACTTCACACCCGAGTCGTTCTTGAGCGTGAGGTTGTAGCGTCCGGCGTCGCTCCAGTTACTCTCCTGGATGATGAGCGCGGTGGCGACTTCGCTGGTCTCGACGGTGGCGCGGTTGGGCAGCTCCCCGTCCTCCTTCTCCCAGATCACCTCTGGGGTGGGTTTGCCGGAGATGGGGATGTACAGCCGGATTGGCACTCCTGTAGAGATAGAATGATGTTAATAAACTTGTAAGCTTCACTATAGCAAACTCTACCTTAAGTTTCCTGGGTTAAATTTAAAGGTAATCTCAGATTATTTTGACAAGGATGATGTGATTTATTTGTTCACAACAATGTTAAAACATGTGTTACAAGCATGCAGAAAGTTGAAAATGAAAATGTCATATTACACCTAAAGTGTACATTTGCTACACTGTGTTGTAGATACTTTTTCCAAGATGTATGGGCTTTCTACAAAGCTCAAATGAAACCACAAAATGCAGTTGCCATACTTTGTACTCTGCACAACTGTTGTGCAATAAATTTCATCATTGTAGCAAGGTCCTATTTATCAATAAAGTTACAATGTTACAAAAAAACAACACTTACCTGCGCGGAAGGTGACAGCCTTTTTCATGGTGACGTCCAGCTCCAGGTCTGGCGCCTGCTCCAGGTCTGCGGCCAGGACGGGATGTCCCAGCTCGGCAGGCTCCCCAGTACCGCCACGGTTCACCGCGCTGATGCGGAAGTAGTACTGCTTACCCTTCTTCAGTCCCGTCACGAACAGGGTCGTCTCCTTGATGATGTGTGTCTGGTGAATGAAAGAAGGAAGGAATGAATGGTTTGTTGATGAAGTTTTGACATCCAGGTAAACGATACTCAAGGAAATTCAAACTCTACCGAGTACTGTTCGTTCATTAGTGACACTGAAGAAGAGTGTGTGGATGTCACTCAAAACATCCGGATATTATCTCTGTAATCTATCTAGTATATGTAGTACAGTTTCAATTTGCTATGAGGAATGAATGTTTTATTTGATCATTTTGATTGGGTATGAAAAGTACATCACAGCCATAGGCTGAATTGCATACTTTGTACACATTTAAAAACTGCTAATCTTATGGTTCCTATTTAACAATTATATATAAAACACAAGAAATGGTACCTTGTGGCACTTGATCCATTCCTCGCTGCTCATCTCGCGCTGTTCCACGATGTAACCGACGATATCGGCGCCACCGTCGAACTTGGGCTTGCTCCAGCTGAGCGTGGCGGTCGTTCTCGCAGAATCCACCAACCGGATGTTAATCGGGCCACTCGGCTTGTCCACTGGCTCCAGGGCTTGGACAGACTCCGAAGGCGGGCTGGGTTTGCCCACGCCGGCCTCGTTCACGGCAGAGACGCGGAATTCGTACTCGAGTCCCTCCATGAGTGTGGATACGCGGTACTTCCACTCGGAGACGGGCAGGTTGTTCACGCGCGACCAGCGGATGCTGGTGCGCTCCTTCTTCTCAACAAAGTATCCGGTGATCTGGAATCAAATCAAAATCAAATTTTTATTTTAAAATCTTGAAGTTTGCAGACGTGCCAAATTTGTTCACACACAACTGAATTATGTTACAGATACATAGATTAAAAGCAAATTAACATTTACAAGAAAAATTTCAATTAGAAATTACAATATTTATAGCAGTATATACAACAGTTACGATCTACTATAATACTAGGTTATTCTGTTCTATCATTTGTCTTCCCTGTATACTTTAGTTTTGTACTATTTTAAGATGCATAATAATTGTTTTTATGGGTATTTATAAAGAAATAAAGAATAAAGAAAGAAAGAAATACCTCAACGCCACCATCATCATCAGGACTTGACCAGGTGAGGAAGGCGGTGTCGGCAGCCTCCATGAAGACCTCAGGACGGGCCGGGGGTCCCGGGACGTTGAACGGGCTCTTGGCCGTGATCGGTTTGCTGAAGACGGCATCGCTGGCTCCGATGTCAGACACAGCCGTGATGCGGAAGATGTAGGTAACGCCGGTACGCAGGCGGGTCACCTGGAATGATAATGACAATGAACTTAATTGCATATTCATTCTCCACATGGGCCAAATGCACTACACTAGATAACGAAGGTACAAGGGTAGAAGGAAGAAGTGTTACATGTACATTGCTGTGCTGCATATATATCTACAGGATCTCTTCTCTCTTTTTGACACATGTATGAACAAATTTACATAGTTTTTCAAGTTTCAAGTTTCAAGTTTATTTATTTCACCAGGGCATACCTCAGATCAGTTGATCTGATTTTCAGGTATCCCTGGGCACACATTAAAAATTACATACACAAGTTCAACGCAACAATATACAACAAATATTACAAACATTTACATATTATACAAAACAATCACAGTATACAATATAGGCACATTTCATCTGCGGTCATCTACAGTCCGTTTTTAAAAGCTGACGTTGCTATCAGTTGCCGCTGGTCAGCAGCAAGACAGTTCCACAGGACTGGCCCTTGGTACTGCAGGCTGCCCTTGAAAGATTCCACATGTGCTTTGGGAGTGTCCAGCATGTGAGGGTCGAAGCTGTAGAGCTGTTTCGTAGCAGTGCGAGTACGAACTCTCAGCACTGGGGGTGACAGCCATTTGAACATATGTGTCATGTAGGCAGGTGCCTTGTGGCGAACTGCCTTGTGTACAGTTACTAATGTGTTCAGTTTCACCCTTTCAGCCAGGGGTACCATACCAGCCTCTGCAAGCAGGGTTTCAGTAGGTACACGATCTTTGAGTGATCGCCCAGTAATAATCCTGGCTGCCCGATTTAACAGTCTAGTCAATTGTTGTGATCTTACTTTGTTACAATGAAAAAGTGACAGTAACCATGTAGTATCACAATAATCCAGGTGAGTATATAACAAGGTTCGACACATGACTAGCAGGATCTCCTTAGTAACATAAGGTTTAGCCCGGCTTAAGGCATTAAGGCCAGCAAGGAGCTTCTTAACAATTCTTTCTGTATGTGCTGACCAGTTTAGAGAGGAGTCCATGGTGACACCTAGGTAAGTATACACATTTACCTGCTCAAATGAGTTAGACCCATCAGTTACAGTGACAGTGTTTCCTGCGTGACGCAGTTTCTGAGGTGATCCAAATACCATGGATTTAGTTTTGTCAGGGTGAAGTGATAATCTATTTACAATAAACCAGTTAGCTACCAGTTTCATATCCTCTGACACAGTTTCCTCACATTCCTTTGACAGCCTAGCCGAGTAATAAAGCACAGTGTCGTCGGCGTTTTTCATGTATACATTGTAGTGCTTGAATAAATAAATGAACGAACCTGTGTTCAACTGGCAGGCTTACATACATGTACATTGTATTGTATCATAGTTTGAATTTTGTTGATTTTTTAAAAATTTGCCTACACATTTTCATGTTCTAGAAAAGCATGTGGTAGTCAGGATTAGAGCATTAATACAAAATTTAATACATATAATGTATCTATTAATTCTAATACATGTATAATACATATAGAATAAATACACTGTGTCGTACCTTGCAGGTGTTCTTACGGACGCTGGTTGAGAAAGTCATCCAGTTGTCCTGTCCGGCTTCCGTACGCTCAACGGTGTACGCTCTGATCGGGGTTCCTCCATCATCCTCAGGCTCCGGCCAGCGAAGCGTGATGGAGTCCACGGACGTGGTCACCAGCTCGACTGGACCCGGGCGGGACGGCGGTCCGATGATCGTCACGTTCATCGTAACCGTGGATACGCCGGTGTCGTTCTTGGCGGTGACCACGTAGGCGCCGCTGTCAGAACGCTCGGCCTTCCTGATTGACGTAACACTTGTTTTCTTCGTAGTTTCCCTGTTCACGCGGTCGCTGCGAACCATCGGACGCCCGTTCTTGGTCCAGGAGACCTCCGGAGCAGGCATGCCGGTGATCAGTGTGCTCAGAGCAACGTTAGACTCAGCAGGGAAGCTCATCGTCTCCTTCATGTTGTAGTCAAGCTTAATCGAAGCTGGCACAAGCTCGTCCTTGCAGAGGACAGGGATGGTTGGGCCGGCAGGCGGGCTGACGACTGCGGCAGAGTTACGCGCGGAGACGCGGAACTCATACTTCTCGTTGTTAACCAGCCCCTTGATGGTGTACTCGGTAGCGGTGACGTTCTCGGTGTTACACACCACCCACTTCTCCTGCTTCAGGTTGCGTCGTTCGATGATGTACGAGACAATCTTACGTCCACCAGTCAGGCCTGGCTTCTTCCACTGCAGACCAACGCTCGCGCGGGTCACGAACGACACGGCAAGCTCTGTCGGTGGCGAAACCGGATCTACGATACGGACGGGCACGCTGGGCGCGCTGGGAGCGCTCTCGCCGGCCGAGTTGATCGCGACGACGCGGAACTCGTACTCGGTGCCCTCCCTCAGGTTGGTGACGCGGTGGTCGCGTTTCTTCAGGATGCTCTTGCTGATCCTCACCCATCTGCTTGTGCCGACCTCCTTCTTGTCCAGCAGGTAGCCGATGATGTCAGACCCTCCGTCCTCGACTGGAGGCTTCCAGGCGACGGTTACAGAGTCCTTGGCAATTTCTGCAGTTGTCGGAGCCTTGGGTGGCTCTGGGGCATCTGTATAGGAGAAAAAACAACAGCATTACAATTTGCCATGGAAATATTGTCTAAATTGTATTATAGTTAATATATGTTCAATCAATCTATCTCTCAAACAACAATTCTAATATTTATATATCTTACTGAGGAATAATTCCTGTCCAAAAGATGCTGATTAGCTAATGAATGATTTCCACTCTAATCATAAGAAAGTTAGCTGCTTACTGAACAGATACTTGGCAAAAAGGTGTCACAAAATTTTGTACGTGTTATCTTTTAAATTTTGCAGATAAAAGAGTACATATTAAGTTCTAAAGCCAATGATTGGGTTCAAACTAAAAGTAAGACAGTGTCTGGGTTCAAACCAAGGTTAAGACGTAACCTGAGTGTAAACTTAAATTAAGTTTATATAAGAAAGTGAGTTGCTTACCGAATGGATACTTGGCGATGATGGCGGTTGATCTCAGCGCTTCGCCCACGCCGTAGCGGTTCTCGGCGCTGACCCTCAGGATGTACTGACCTCCGGGGGTCAACTTCGGAACTTTCACGGACGTACGCTTGACATCGGAGCTGACGTAGGTCCACGTCACGCCCGCGTTGTCCGACTTCTCAACCACGTAGTTGGTCACGTCGCTGCCGCCGTTGTCACGAGGCGGTTTCCATAGCAACTCCAGCGACTCGGGCGTAACGTCCTCGAAGCTGATTGGTCCTTCTGGCTTGCCTGGCTTGCCCAGCACCTGGAATTAATTGTTTATAACAAATCGTTATGATCAGTAATTAAAAGCATATCACAACTACAGGCTGAACTTTCATACTATTTTTAAAGATAACAAAAAACTATTGACTGGCAATTATATTACTCAGCTATGAGACCAAAGTTTACCTCACTGTAACGCTTATTAATGATCACCCGTTGAATAACTTTGAAATATTCTGTTTATTTGTAATTTGATGTAATTAAGTTTTTAATCAATATTTGTGTAAACTCCTGTTTGTTGCATTGATAATGATTGCAACCAGACATCACAATATTCAGCCTGATTCAATCTAGGCTGCCAGCAGTTTCTGGAGTCTATTTATTTTCTCAATAAAACAGTCTATATAAGACTGAATTATGTCCAAAGCTACCTTGAGAGTGATCTCGAAGGACTGTGCTCCCAGGTCATTCTCCACAGTCAGAGTAAACTTCAGGGCATCCTTCTTCTCCACCTTCTTAATGGTGAGAGACGCAAAGTCGGCCGTGTTCTTCACGAAGTAGCGCTCGATCGGCGTCAGGACCTGGTAGCCACGCATCCAGGTAACCTGAGGAAGGAAGGAAGGAAGATTTACTAATGTGTCTTGCACTTCTTGCCCCCAGCCCACATATAAAACACAACAGGAAAATACAAAATATAATATAAGAGTCAGAACAGATGGACATCAAAACTGAAGATGGGCACCAAAACTGAACAACAATATAATTCTTTCTTGGAAAACCATGCCCAAAAACTAATTGCATGAAAAGAAATAAAGCAATAGACTTCATACAACTACATGTACTGTCTCATCTAAATACACAACTTCATCTTTGGCAGGCCAGTCTTGGAAGACTATTTCGTTTAGACTATTTTAGTCTCTGAAGACTATTTTATTTAGTTTGCTATTAGATTACAATTCAGGTGTACAGAGTGAAGAATCCTTGAACTAAGCTGTCAAATCTAAGAAAGATGCAAATCCTCACCTTAGGTTTGGGTGCAGCGTGGAAGGGGATGGTCACGTTAAAGTCGTTTCCTTGTCTCACCACCACAGTATCCTTGATATCAGTCAGATCCAGTACTGGTGGAGCTGTGGAAGAAAATATACAAGAAGAAAAGGATCAACTTTTGCCCCAAGCAACTCTTTTACCAAGCAGGGAAAAGAATGCGTAAGAAACCAGGGGCCGAAGTTGTGTGAGGGTTAAACTCACCGAGCTGTTCCTTGCAGACGACGAAGGGTGTCTCGGCGGGTTCGCCCAGACCGCCGTCGTTGGAGGCGGAGACGCGGAACTTGTACTCGGAGCCCTTGTCCAGCAGGGTGACGGTGTAGCGCAGAAGGTTGATGGACTTCACGCGCTGCCACTCTTCACTACCCTTCTCCTGGAAAATACAACCAAGTTTAGGGTTAAAACATGATTGTTTTCTGGCTGATTTGCTAGAAAATAAACTAGTTTTTTTCAAATATAAAACACTGCATTTTATAGCTATTGTTCTAGGAAAATGAGTAACTGTTTGTATTTTCATTTTGTAGCTAACTTATGAGTTCGTAAAAGTGTTGTATATTTCAGGGTTAAAACATTGTCTAGATAATTTACAAAGAAAATTTTCAGGTTTGAAACACTTCATTTTCTAGCTAATTTACTAGGGAAATAAATATAAGCATGTATTTTCATGTTTGACACACTGTACTTCTCAGATAATCTACCTGGAAAACAAGCTTTCATCTTCAGGGTGAAATCACTGCATTTTCTAGCTAATTTACTAGTATGGAAATCAGAGTGTATTTTCAGGTTCAACACAGCACTTCTCAGATAATCTACTGGGAAAACAAGCTTGCAACTACATTTTCTAGCTGAATAACTGACCTGAAGTTCAACGAGGTAGCTGGTGATCCTGCTGCCTCCATCAAACATGGGTCTGTCCCAGGACAGGGAGACTGTTGTGTCGGTGATCTCAACTACATCTAGCTTCTTAGGCGCTGAGCACGTTTCTGTCGAGAGGAAATAAAAAGGAATCAGAGTCAAAACTACTTCTAAAGGAAGCAACATACAGTCATTAAGAGACCTGAACATGTATGCTCTTGTACTGTTGTATGCATTCTCATCTCAATGCAAAACAGCCTATCCACAGTGTCTTCATACATGGTAACTTTTAACAGCATTTTATGTCTACATCAGCCTGGTACAGTACTATATATTTTGTCATAATCTAGTGCATATGGCAGTTGGGTAACTAGATGTGTTTGTACAACGTAGTACTGTAAGTTACTTTAATTTTGTATGTTGTTTTTTGATGACATTTTTGTAAGGTGCATGCGCCTGAATCAAACAATAAAGACTTGTACAGAAATGTACAGGAGGTGATCAGAAGCTGATTTCTCACCAACTGGATCGGCTGCTGTGATTGGCTGGGTGGTCTCGGCAGGCTCACCAATGCCGATGTCGTTAACTCCCATCACGCGGAAGTAGTAGATGTTTCCTTCTACAAGCTTGTAGATCCTGGGGAACCAAGCAAAAGAAGCATTGAAGTGACCTGCAGACATGCCTTAACTAATTAAAAAGTCCCTTAGAAATCATTCAGATTATTCTCAATCTACATCAAACCCAACCCAAACTCCAACAATACTTCTAACTGTGAAAAGTCTGATTCTGAAACTCTTATATGTACTTTACATGTACATGTATATTGGACAGGCTTAAATTCATCTTTCGATTTCTTTTTATTTCTGTCTGCTCAGTTATCCAATGTTTCTCTTCATTTTGTGAAGTTGTACAGAAAAGAAGTGATGCAACTCTTGCTTTATCTTTTTTTTATTAATTTGGCAATGTAACATTACATAGACTTTCAGGCAGCTATACTGATTTCAACAATTGTAAGACAAAACAACACATGTCCTTACTTGTAACAAATTGAATGCTAATACATGTAAGATGCATCCTTACTTGTAAGAAGACTTGATGATGTTGGTTGCCACGGTGCTCCAGGTACGTCTGCTCTCCTCCCGTTTCTCCACGATGTACCTGGTGATGGACGAATGAAAGGTTTATTCATCAATACACATAACAGCCAATGTGCACTTAAAAACTTACTTAAACACATTAAACAGAGTTAAAAGGAAGATGAGATTCTTCAAAACTGCAGGCCAGTCTGGTGCAAACAAATCTCAACGTTGGATACATACATGTATATATCTCCCAGAGTCACTGACGAAAGGTAGTGGATGCTACCTGAAACATCTGTCCGTTCCCAAAATTATATCCAGTTGCTTGAGTAAGAGTTTTTGGCAAATCTCAATGTTCTATAACTATGCATAGGTTTTGCTGGTACTGCTTGTTTCCTTACCTGGTGATGGACTTTCCTCCGTCCTTCTCGGGGAAGTCCCAGGAGAAGAACGCCGTGCTGCTCGTCACGTCCTTCACGCGAAGGCTGCGAGGCTTCCCGGGTGTGTCTGAAGAACAGAGAATAACATCTTTAAGACTCCTGTCCAGACTAGTACTTAAGAGTTAAGACAACCTAGTACACAGTACAATCTTTCACTCGCAGGCTGCGAGGCTTACCGGGGGTGTCTGGGGAGGAACGGGTAAACTCTTTGAGATTCTTTTCAAGATTTGGCAGTACAGGAAATGTTTAACAGCAGTGTTAACTACTGTTATGTGAGCTATCAATTCTTGCACTGTAATGAGGTGGTGGCTTAGAGAGATGTAGAGTGTCCTTCAATATAATAGTAATCATGTACTGAATAACAACCTACATAGTATGCTAGTGTATGAGGAGCAATTAAGAAATGTCTCTAAGACGCATTCAAGCTCCTTCAAGAGACTAAAACATTTTGGTAGAAGATAAAAGGTACTATAAAAACTACTGACAGTGTTTTATCAAAGTTGTGACTATCGCAGAGGATAGGAGAGTCTCCAACCTACATAAGACAGGGTTGTCTGGGGAGCAACTAATAGGATGTGACATGTAAGTTCCTAAATAGCTGTTATATACATGTAGAACTGTTAATCTGTAATTTGCAGGAAGATTAGCTAGTACATATACAGTAAGTTACTTTGTAGGAAAGCTAATGTGATAATATCCAACACCCACCGAGTACTTTGACGTTGATGGCGACCTCCTTCTTGCCGCTGGAGTTCTCCACGGTGAGGTGGAACTTGCCCGCGTCGCGCCTGTCCGTGTTGTGGAGGGTCAGGCTGGTCGCAACCTCGCTGGTCTCAATCTGGGCTCGGTTCTCCAGGTCACTGGGGGAGGATAGGCAGTTCACTCAGTCATTGATTCAGAAGTAAAAAAAGTCTACAAAATAAAATTATTTCCTTGCTCCTTGTTCTAAGTACCTCAGTCTGTATTCTTTCCTCACAGCTTGTACTGAACGGTTCAAAGCTTACGTTTTATTGATAAATTATGTTTAACTCAGGCACTAACAGGCCCCTATTTACATTTAATCTAATGTTTCAGTTGACTTCAACTGATTTTGTTTGCTTGAAAAGCCTTCGGTTATACCTTAGAGTCTGTCTCTGTTTTTGGCATACCCAATGCAAGCTATATTCCACTGCACACATACTCAGGCTATGTCATTTCATGATGAGCAAAGAATACAGTGGGGAAAGGCTTTTAAATCTGCACAAGTCAATGACATGTAGAATCCTGATATAGACTGATACCAGTTAGTAATCTCATCTGCCATACATTGTACCAGTTACAATCGTTGTGCAATAAACTCTGACTTGACTTGACACCATACCACAGCCGAATGAAAGGAAGTTTCTAAGAGCTGTGTACTCACCTGTCCTCCTTCTCCCAGGTGCATGCAGGTGTGGGTTTGCCTGAGATGGGGATGTAGAAGCGCAGCGGTACTCCCGCCCGGATGGTGATGGTCTTCTTATACGTCACGTCAATCTCCATCTCTGGGGGTTCTGTAAGTGCAACAGTGGCACAATGCATTACTTTTACATTCACTACACTTTTTATCCATCCAAAATTCATAGCCTCTTCAATGAGGCAACAGACAATGATGGCTCTGACACAAACTTTAAGACATACATTGACTAATACAAAGATTTGGCTTGTCCATTGCAGTTCATAATTCTAGTACCAATGATTGTTAATTCAGGACTAGCAACAGTTACAGATTTAGATTTATTTCATTCAACTGGCATGCTACAGATGTGACAATAATGCAACATGAAATCTGTTGAAACGTACAGTAAAATAATTGTCTTGTTATGTATCTTACATTGTCTCTTCTGTCTTGGCTGTCCACAGTGTAAAAGAATTACAGACATTAAGTTACTGTTATCAGTTTATTGTTACTAATACGGACCTTCCAGTTGCTTGACGACAGTTGTGTCCTCGGCCTCGCGAGCTTCGCTGGCGCCCATCTCGTTCACGGCGCTGACTCGGAAGTAGTACGCGGCTCCCTCGGTCAGGCGCTCCACGGTGTGCTGGTTGTGCCGGATAGTAGCCGGCGTGTGGGCGCGCTCCCAGGTCTCCGTACCAACCTATGAGCAATCAATCATTCAATTAATCATCTATATTAGCACATAGTGGTCAAATATTATTGAGGTCTAAAATTCCTTACTAACATGTACATTGTTTAGCATACATACTTCAAACATAGCAGCAAAGAAGGGAAATTTAGACTATTTTGATATTCGGTCAAGTATAATATCCTAAGATCTTGGCATACTATAGCTGTACTTATAACATCAAAAATTTGTGCAGATAACAATGGTATAGACTTTATATAGATTACTGTATACATTGTTGTGATGTTGTTCATTATACAAGTTACAGTGACTGTTTCAACTAGGTGGTGAAATATTGTGTGTGCCTGAGAACAGTCCTTACCTTGCGCATCTCTAGCAGGTATCCTTCCAGCCTCACGCCTCCATCAGATTGGGGCAGCGGCCACTTCAGTGTCACAGTACTAGTGGTAGTGTCAATCACATCCAGCCACTCTGGGGCCAGAGGAGGGCCTGGGGGGAAAATGATCATTTAGTACAGTCATGTAAGACATTGGCCCTAATTTTGTATTAAATCCTTGCAATTCTCGATGTGAAAGAATAGGAAAATATATGTCTTGTTTGGTCATGTTTCGTTTAGTGTTGATGTGGATATTACAAATTCTCCCCACAATTTCCTGAGCAGTTTGTCAATTCTATGACCTGTAGATGTTCTGAAGAAGCCTGATTGTTACTTTCTGTTTGTTTCATAAACCTGTCAATATTTGGCATTTCACCAAGCTGGTTTATAAAGTATTTTACATCTTTCTGCATGGACTTGAGCCTGAGATAAACAAAGAAAACTAAATATGTCTGAGGCTTTAGATGACCAGAATCTACTTACCGACAGGGTCCCTGACGATGACTGGCGCACAGGCGGCGCTGGTTGTGTAACTTTCTGTTTGTTCCATAAACCTGTCAATGTTTGGCACTGAGACTTTAGATGACCAGAATCTACATCTACTTACCGACAGGGTCCCTGACGATGACAGGCGCGCAGGCGGCGCTGGGTCTGCTCTCGCCGGCAACGTTCTCAGCCAGCACGCGGAACTCGTACTCGTGTCCCTCGTCCAGCCCGCCGATCTCGTACTCCAGTTCTCGTAGCAAGCGGCGGTTCGCGCGCGTCCAGTTGGTGTGCGTGACGTCCTTCCTGTCGACATGGTAACCGAGGACCTCTGACCCTCCGTCCTCGGCGGGCGGCGCCCAGGAGAGGGTGACGTAGTCCTTGGTGACGCTGATTGGTTTGGGTGCTTCTGGTGCCATTGGTGGATCTGAGATAGGGAAAGTTTGTCAGTTTAAGTCACGACAATGATTGTGCTGACTATTGCATCACCAATATTAACCACACTTAAAACAAAATTCTCAATAATTGGTTTGAATTCAGTAACAAACCTTTGTTTAAGTCATCCTGTATTCTTTGGTGTCATTTACTATAAAGAAGGCTTCAAATTTGCTGATTTCATCTTTCGTTGATTTTATACATTTACATTATTGCTCTTGAATCTCAAAAATGTTTCCTGTTGAGCTTTTTGTAAAAAATACATATTTTACTACTTGCTACGTATTGTACTGTAAACAAGAACTTCAGGAGGATTAACATACAATTTTGTATCACCACTGGAGATCCTAAACAAACGAAACAAAGAAAAACCCACCAAATGGCCACTTGGCGATGATGACGTCTGAGACGAGAGGCAGTCCCACTCCGTTGACGTTCTGCGCGAAGACGCGGAACTGGTATGCAGAGCCAGCCACCAGCTTCGTAATCTTGATCCTCGTCTGTCTCACGGCTGAGCTGACCTTCACCCAGTTCTGTGCCTTCACCTGAGGAAGTCGAGGGTAATTATTAGTTTCTTCATCTCAAGAACACCTGGAAATGCTCCTGAAACCTTAACAACACCTGGAAATGTTCCTTAGCCCTTAAGAAAACTTAAAAAGGATATCTAATGACTGTGAGGTTTCTCGACCCTTAAGAACAACTAGTTCTGTGCCTTTGTGGATGAGAGGGCAGAAACTTTAAGTTTAACATTCACACTGCCAAGAGTGCACAAATGCACCAAGTCTGTATAACTTACAGCATTAAGCATTCTATAGACCCCTTTAATATTATGTACTGACAGCAGGAACACCTCAATCTATGCCTCCTAAGTTACCATTTAAATGTAACTACAACAGTAAATGTATAGTTTTAAAATTTCAGAGAGAATGCAGAAAGATATGAGAGTACGTACATCGCAGCGTTCCACGATGTAGTTGGTGATGGCAGTTCCTCCATCGTCTGCCGGCACGTCCCAGCTGATCACAGCATACTCCGGACAGATGTCCACTACCTGGATCGGGCCCTGGGGCGCGTCTGGCTTGTCTGGAAATACCAACAAATATCTTCAGTCTACAACACTTTTGGGCATTTAGAAATAAAATGTCAATACATTGTAGTAGCCTGATATGACACCTACAGTACTACAAATGTATAATATTATGCATGAGGATGTTTAGGATAAACAACAGGCAAAGGAATTGTATATAGACTTGACTGTACAATGCATTTTAACTACATGTACAAGCTTTTGCCTGTATTTTCCTGCACAGACATTACAAACAAACATTGCTCATTACTTGACAAAGAATGGAGTTAAACAGTTGAAAATATTGTGTAAGTCCAATAATGTGTTGGAAATTACAGGTCAAACCTGAATTAATTCTCAGAATTACCAGATATCTTTGAATATGTTGAAGAATCAAGAATGCAGTAAATGTTTTGAGAACTGACCTTCCACAGCCAGAGTGCACTGCACCCTGTCTTCTCCGCTGTCGTTGCTTGCGCGTACCGCGTACAATCCCGCCTCCTTGCGGCTGGCGTTCTTGATCAGCACGGCAGTGTACTTCTCGGTGTGCTCAAAGCGAAGACGATCCGTCTTGGCAAGCCTCTTACCGTCCTGATTGAACGAACGAATGAATGAGTGAATGAACGAAATTGGTTTATTAAGGTTAAAGTCCTTTTCATATTAAATATTTAACAATTCCATTGCAGGTTAATTTCTAAAGTTTCATTTTAGTTTAAGTTCCATTTTACAAATGAATAAAAATGGGGTCACATGACGCAAGGACAGAATGCTCGATGCAGGACCAAGAGGTCCCGGGTTCGAGTCCTGACATGCCACTGATCATATGCCTTAGGATAGGCACTTAACATGACTTTCCTCACCTAACTCAAGTGTAAATGAGTACTATCCTGCCCTGTATTTCTTTCTACGTGTGGGACACAACACCAGCAACAGCTGCCTGTGTCTCACGTGTATTGTATTGTTACAATAATTTCAATCAATCAAATCAAATGAAATCAAGTACCTTGGACCACACGATCTCCGGAGCCGGTTTCCCGGCAACCATCACGGCAAGTTTGAAACTCTCGCCGATCGCGATGGTGTTCTTCTCCTTAAGTTTGAAGTCCAGAGTGAGTTTGGGCGGTCGGAGATCATCCTTACAGAGGATGGGGACGGTGGGCTGAGAGAACTCGCTGGTGATTCCGGCGGCGTTCTTGGCCTGAACGCGGAACTCGTACTTCTCGCCCTTGATGAGGCCCTTGCACTTGAGGGTCTTCTCCTTAATCACACCTGTGTGTACCTGGAGAAATTGGGGGGAAAAAACAGATATCATTAATGTTAGTGTGTGTAACCTACAATAGTTTGCAGGAAGTCTCCATACAGCGCAAGACCAACCCAGTAACCGAACTTTGTGGAGACAGTGTAGTCTTATGCCATAATTATTAGAAATGCATGACATTGTGTTACCCTTTGTAATATTTTGAGTACAGAGCTGGTAACATGAAGATAACTGGCTCTTAGTCTAGTGATAAAGAATAAAAGCCAAGAGATTCTGAGGCAAGCAGTTGATGCGTTGGAGAATTGAACAAGACAGCCTACACTACATGTTACTAATCTCCTATAATGTACAGAATTTATCTACAGAATGCAATGTATGGAATTCTGTTGAAGAAGTGGAAAGAAAGTTGAACAGTTTTACATACCTGCACCCACTTCTGGGGCGGTCCCTCCTTCTTCACCTGTTTGCGCTCCACCACGTACCCGACGATGCGCGCACCCCCGTCCTGGAGTGGGCACTTCCAGCTGAGGGTGACCGACGCACGGGTCACGTCGATAACACGAAGGTCATCCGGAACTCCCACGGGATCCACCGCACGGTAGAATCTAGCAAATCAAATGATAATTTGGTCAGTGCCTTTTTTGTCCCGTCACAAATATGCAAATGATATGCAAATAGTAGTTAAAATGTTTGTATTTTACAATGTATGTAAGAGGACTCCAGGTAGAGTAGTGGTTGTATTGTCACTGATTGCAGGTGCCTTAAACAAACAAACAAACAAACAAACGTACCCGCTGGTCTCGCTAGGTTTGCTTGATCCTGCAGCGTTCAGAGCGAAGGCGTGGTGCTCGTATTCCAGGTTCTCAATCAGGCCTGTAGACCTGACCTCGCGTTTGTGGATGACTCCCTTGGTCACCTTTGAAAGAAATGAAAATTATGTAGCTTTTGACATTTGAAGTCAGAGTTTTAACTGTATTTAATTTACTGTAACAGTGTCTTTAAGTTTGGAGATTGTACACTCAGTTGGATGCAGAACTTAGAAAGTGTTTTGGTACATATCAAGAAGGGTCTACAATTCAGCCAAAAGATTGAATGACTTTTAAAGTTGTGTTTGAAATGAATGAACAAACCAGTTTACAACTATATTTATGTATAATTGTGTAGTGCTATTATCACAACTGCTACTACTACTACAGCTATTACAGCTACTAAAACCATGTACTACATGTAGTGCTACAACTACTACTACAGTATGATTACTACTGCAAAAGTACCTTGATCCATCTGTTGCTGTTACGCTCGCGGCGCTCCAGCATGTAGCCGGTGATCTCGGATCCACCGTCATCCTCGGGTGCAAACCACGAGACGGTCATGCTGTCCTTCGTCCTGTCCTTCACTTGTAAGTCAGTAGGTGGCGCTGGCGGGTCGAACGGCAGCTTGGCGTCCACGGCGCCGGACATGTACAGCGGGCCGAGCCCGAACTTGTTCTCGGCGGCGATGCGGAAGATGTAGGTCTTCCCCTCCACGAGCTTGGTGACGCGGCAGTACGGCCGCTTCGCGCTCATGTTCACAAAGCTCCAGGTCATGCCGCGGTTGTCAGACTTCTCAATGCTGAAGAATGAATGAATGAATAAAAGACCTTTATTGTATTATCTTAAAAGTTCATCTGTGTTGGTAGAAGTCATTATTACAGTAATATTACAGTTTAAACTTGCCGCATAATGACCTTTATTGTATGTTTATGCTCTTACAAGGTAAGTACAGGTCATGAATAAACAGGAAAAACATACAGCAAGATCTTACTTAAACTTGATACATGCTAATGTGATCTACTATTTACAGGTTCAACTTCTTCTCACTTCTTGAGGCAGTTGTAGGTGTACAAACATATGGAGCTAATGATACATGGTTTGTCAAGTTTCACACACAATTGCCACACCAATTTAATTTCTTGGTTAACGGATTCGCCCGCTTTATTTTCCTGATTTGCAAATAAAAATAAAAGTTCAGAATCAACTGCAAAATGCTCATATTTTGCCCTGAACAGTTGAAAACAGTCCTTTTCATCCTAGCTGTTACAGTTATTCCATCCTTCAATGCAATGGTATCATTAAAAGTTCAAAATTCATTGTTTAAATTTTGAACCAGCCTGGTGTGTTGACTTCATGGCTCCTATCATACCATTTTGGGCCATAATAGGATGCCTTATAAGGCCTAGTTTTATTTCATTTTTTTTTCGCCCGCCCGCTCCACTATTTTTCTAGAAAAATCCGTTAACCAAGAAATTAAATTAGTGTGGCCTAAGGAATGCAAATGAGTGTTTATTAAGGTTAAATCACTTGCGGCTATATTGTGTACCTGTAGCTCTGGATAGGGCTGCCTCCGTCGTCCCCGGGCGGGGTCCAGGTGAGAACACACGACTCAGGTGTGACGTCCTCAGCCTGGATGTTAGTCACCTGTCCTGGCTTGCCCAACACCTGCAATCAAGGAATGAAGAAATGAATGAATGAATGAAGACCTTTATTGTACAAAAATACCCACTGGGTTAAGTACAAAGGAATTGCTTGGCTATATATATACATGTATACATGGACTAAGGGCTAGTCTAATTATATGTAAATTCGACTTCTCACTTCTCTATGATAGTGAAAAGATAAGAGCATAGTTACAAGTTTAAGGATCAGAGGTTTGCCTAAGTTCAGTAAAAAAGTTTGTGTGTATACAAATAACAAATAACTTTATTGCGCAACAATTGTACAGTGTACAAAGTATGGCATCTACTAACTTAAGTAAGTACATGTCAACTACATTTTCATAAGGCTAATCTAATACAAAAGTGTACATGTACATGTACCTGTGCCCCAAGTAAATTGTACTGTTCCAATTTCCATAAATCAAATCACATGAACAGTTACAAAAGTTTGAATCCTGTCCAAAGGTAAACATAAATACAATGAATACTAACCTTGATGTTGATGTCAGCAGTCTGGGTGCCCAGGTTGTTGACAGCCTTGATGGTGTACTTTCCTGCATCGCGTTTCATCGTCTTACGGATGATCAGCGACGTGGACACGTGGTTGGTCTTCGTCACCTGCAGGAGTGGAAGTTGTGGAACAAAAGGAGATTGTATTTTACTGAGTTATGGAAGGATGCTGGGAACTTTGGAATAATCATACAAGTTTTGTAGCCATTCAGGCACCCTCCACAAAAAGGTCTGCACAAATTCTGTCTTATTTTCCAATAACGAAAATGTCCCAAATGAATGGGCACAGACCACATACCAACTTGCAATCATGCAAGCTGAATCTCATAATTTGTCTGACCCTGACCTCTGCCCTCATAGCCTCAATGGAAAGTGTCCAGCAGGCTGATTTGAGTATTTCATGACTAAACAAACAAACAAACAAACAAACAAACAAACAAACAAACAAACAAACAAACAAACACACCTTGCTGTCAGACTCGACCATGGTGCCGAGCCCGTGTAGCCAGGTTATAGCGGGACGGGGTGTTCCAGAGAACGGAATTCTCAGTGTCATGTCTGATCCCTCCTTCACGACCAACTCATCGCGAGGCAGGGCGGACAGGTCCAACTCTGGTGGGCCTACGGAAGAGTAAAATAGGATATCATTAGCAGAAATTCAGTAATGTAAGCTTAACTAGGAGCCCTACTAGCTAATAGTATAATATTCCAACCATGGCCATTCAAAATAACATTAAGCTTTTTTTAGCAACCTGGCAATTGTCATCTTAGCTTTAGTAAAAGAGACAGTCACTGTAATCTCTTAGTAGCTAAGTAGCTTACATGTACATGAATAGTAGTATGAAGGGTACTGTTGGAAGCAAAGGGTTGATTTTCAAATTCAGAATTTTCCCCAGCTATTCCAAATCTCGTGTTTTTACCTCAAAGCGACTAGTATTTTAAGTAATAAAATATTACATCAAAGGGGAGAACAATAAGATGTAAATCACATCTTGAAGCATAATTATGAAACAGTTACTCACTGATTTGTTCTGCTGCGACCACAGGCGGCAGTTCCCTGGGAGCGCTGACAGCGCCGACGTTCTGGGCAGACACGCGGAACTGGTACTCCTGTCCCGTGGTCAGCTCTGTCACGGTGTACCTGTACAGGCACAGGAAGGCGGTTTAGATACATCAGTTGTTGGTACAATATCAACAATGGTACGACAATGTACGGGAGGACCTCCACCACCTGAACTAAAAGAGATAAAATCAACAAACAAGACAGAGACAAGTGACGTGCAGCCATCAAGCCCCAGATGTACTGTGCAAGCACGTCTAACCCTCGGAAGACGGGGAACAACAGACGATAAACCGACAGTGAGTGAGTGTGAGTGAGTTACAGTGCAATGAATTTCACTCTTCCCAAGACATAATCTGCAATAGACTTTACAACAAGCAAATTTCATGTCTCCATTAGCCTAATGATCCTTGTTCCTTGTACTACATTGTAACTTTCATGTGAACACTGCTAATTGTAACCAAATTTATGTAATTCAAGGAAGGCCACCAATTGTCTTTCCCAGCCGATGTATTTTTGAAATCGTAAGAAACAATGGATTGGTTACAGGACTGCAGCCGACTGATGATGACGATGGTTACGGAGTATATAAAGTGTACCAAATATGCAAATAAGACATGCAAATTACCTGAGTGAGCTGAGTGCGGTGCATCTGACCCACTCCTGGTCCTCTCCAGCCAGGCGCATCTCCACGATGTAGCTGGTGATGCGGCTGCCTCCGTCAGGACCATGCAAGGTGTACCAAATATGCAAATAAGACATGCAAATTACCTGAGTGAGCTGAGTGCGGTGCATCTGACCCACTCCTGGTCCTCGCCGGCCAGGCGCATCTCCACGATGTAGCTGGTGATGCGGCTGCCTCCATCGTTCTCTGGACGCTGCCAGGCCAGGGAGACGGTTGTCTTGGTGATCTCTGTGATCTCCACCTTCCTCGGGGGGTCGGGGGAGTCTAAGATGATAGGAAAAGATGTGCGTCGAGTGGTTAGCTTCCTCGTTTAATCTTTCAAATCAGAAAGGCAAGTATCATGCCAAACCAGACTATGTGACTATAGAAGGGTTTCACTGATAGTACAACTTGAAGAACTGACATGAAAAGAGTGAGAACAACTTAAGTACAGTCAAACTATCTCCATAAGATGACCATTGGCCTATGACGACTGATTTTTCCCATAGACCACAAGCATTATGATATGCTTTGGCTATAAAATTTAATGAACATATTTGAGGGACAACTTACCGACTGGGTCCATAGCCAGGATGGCTTCATCAGAAGCCTGTGGCACACCGATGCCGTACACGTTCTCAGCCAGCACCTGGAAGTAAGGAATGAATGAATGAATGAATGAATGAATGAATTCACATGTCTTGCACTTAATAATCATGCGCCCAGCTCCTGAGGGCTTATAAGACACGAGAAAGAAAAATTAATACAGAAATCAAGAATTACAGATCGACCATGAGCAAATGAGCAAATACGGCACCTGGAAGTAGTACTGGTTTCCTTCCACCAGGTTGGTGACGCGGTAAGACGTCTTGTAGATGCGTGTCTCCACCGTGTCCCACGTCTTACGGCTGATCTCCCGCTTCTGCAGGAGGTAGTTCGTCACGGCCTTTCCGCCATCCTTCTCCGGGGCTCCCCATTGGATGATGGCGGTCGCCTTGGTGACGTCACGCACACGGACGTTTGTGGGTGGTCCAGGTGTATCTATGGGAATAAACAAATAAGCAAATAGGTCATCATAAATAAGCTTTGCATTTGAAACATTAAAACCTTACTACACTAAGTTAACCTTTTTTTCTAGTGATCCATACCAGCTGTATAAGATTGCTTTAAGGTTTTGCAAGTTTTGAATCCTCATAAAATATCTGTATCTGTATCTGTATAGCCGGTATAACCGCCTTTCGGCGTAACACACCAGCTTTATATTGTGATATACTAGTGATATTCTTTTAAATGATTCTATGCACATGCAACTGTTTTGCAAGACTTGTACTTCAAGAAACCTAGCAGTTTTTAAAATAATGTTATATGTATCCAAGGATATCTGATGAGGTCTTTAGTGGGATCTATAATAATTGGCAAGATAAATGAAAATGAAATGCAACGTACCAAGTACTTTGACGAGGATCTGTGCAGATGCAGTACCGCTGGAGTTCTCCAGGGTGAGGTTGAAGTATCCGGCGTCGCGGCGGTCGGCAGACGGGATCATCAGCTGAGTGGCGATCTCGCTGGTCTCGATGGCGGCGCGGTTCTCCAGGTTACTGTCCTCCTTCTCCCAGGTAATGTTCGGGAACGGCTTGCCCCTGAGGGAGGAGAATGAAGGAATTTCTTTATTCCAAGTAATATAAATCCATAGGAACAGAGGTACAATCATTGAAAATACAAATTAAACTTGTAAAGGTAACATTTGCAAAGAAAATGCATGCAATTTACTTTCACTTTGTCTATCCCAAAAAACTACTGCTAATTGTTTAGTTTTGTTCAAACACATTCGTATACTAGTGTATGGTGATCAGCCCCTCCAGCTCTGTCCTGCTACATTACATGTATGTAACCCAACACCACAGGGTGTCTGCTACAATGCTAGTTACCATGGTGACAGACGTCTACATGCAATCCAGGTCATTCACTTAAATTATAATTTTGTTTAGAGAAGAAGAAGAAACTGAGCAAAAGCAATGTGTTTTCCTTCTACAAAGGCAAACATATAAAAATTTTTCTGAGGCTGTAGATGAACAGAATCTCCTTACAAAATATAAGATACAAACTGAAGGTAAACAGAATGCCTGTCTCACCTGATGGGGATGTAGATGCGGATGGGAGCTCCTCCTCTCACCACGATGGCACGGCGCAGGCTGATGTCCAACTCCAACGTAGGAGCCTCCATCATGTCCTGGGGAGGAACAAGGCAGAGATTCAGTATAAAGTTCTTTTAAGTTGGAGTCAAGTTTCTGACTCAATAGTAACAATGGGTTTTATTCAAAGAACATTTGTCAGCCTCAGGTCTTATGTTCTGTTCTTAGGTAAAACTTGTGACACATTCCAGGTCTAGCATACTTGAATAGGTTAAAACCATAGTTGAATTCAAGAGATTACAAGCTGAGCTAGACTGTACATGTACGTATTACCAAGTAGAAACTAAAGCTGTATACCTTCACATTAACATGCGACATTAGCAGTTCAATAGCTACGTGAGCTGTATAATGTAATTTGCATACTCGGGACAACTTAAATGAACTCATTACCATAATGTTAGACTTGTTTACCTTAGCGGTGACGATGCCCTCGACGGTTGCTGGGGCACTGACCCCGCACTCGTTAGCGGCGCTGACCCGGAAGTAATAACCCCTTCCTTCCTCCACGTCTGTCACGATCAGGTCCTCGTGGCGAACCATGCTCTTGGTGTGGCTACGGGACCACTCTTCTGAGTCAGTCTGAGGGGGAAGGATTTCACCAAGTTTAGCCAGTGGTTCCAAGACTCGTGTAGATAAGACACATACATGTGTGGCGTCGTGTGGTGTAGTGGTACATCACTGGACTATGAAACGGAGAGACCCGGGTTCGATTCCGGGTCGTACCCGAACAAGTCCGAACATGCGCCCCGACGTTGTACCCTTGGGAAAGGTACTTTACACGAATTTCCTCACTTCACTCAGGTGAAAATGAGTACCTAGCTTTGGTTAGGGACGTCCCTCGGATAGGACGTTAAATGGAGGTCCCGTGTTTGGGAGAGCCACACCCCACGCACGTTAAAGAACGCACCACACTTATCGAAAAGAGTAGGGGACCTTCCCGGTGTGAGTGGTTCAAACCTTACAGTCTGGTCTCAGGGTTGACATCTTTGAAAAGGTGATAGTCACCTGTTATGTCAATCCTTCCACAAATGTGGTAAATCGTCATAAACATGTAGGATATAGCACATATCCTGGTTGATATTTGTAATGATTTAGTTCACAAAATGTTATTGTATGCTATAGTGTTGCTCCTGTTCCACTCTACAGTAGACCAGGTCTGAAGCGGGAAATTCCTTTCTTTTCTAATAACATCAGAAAATACCTATAAGAGACCAAGAAAAGTTCTGAGAAGTATCAAGAAAAAGCTTTTGAAGAGAGATCTTAGAAAAATTTAAAAAATTTTTTTTAAACCTTGAGTGTAATGAAAAACCTTATCTTCAGATTCTCTTAGAAGAAAACTTTCCTATTCACCTGGACCTACCTAAAGAGATGTATGAAGTTCAACACTTTATTAGTTTTTGTTTATTGTATTTTAAGTTGTTTCTTGTATGTTTATGTTAAACTCACCCTGCGTTGTTCCACGACGTAACCGATGACCCGGCTGCCGCCGTCGAACTCCGGTTTCTGCCACTCCAGCGACACGGACGACCGGGTTGTTTCCGCGACAACCGGGTTGACAGGCGGCTGGGGCTTGCCTAGCGGGTCGCGTACGACCACGGGAAGGCTGGCGGGGCTGTACTTGCCGTTACCCGCCATGTTGTTGGCGCAGACACGGAACTCGTACTCCAGGCCCTCCTCTAGATCACTCATGGTGTAGGATGTCTCCTGGTAATCATAATAAAAATGGGTTTACTGAAAGAACTTTGGCAGCCCAAAGGCTGAATTAAATGTTTTCATCTAATGATAATGAATTTTTGCCACACTGGGCTACAGTACATTATAAGTACAGCTCACAGCAAAACATGATGAACAGATACAGTTAACATTATGAAATAAAATGAAATATGAGAATATTATAAAATGAAATATGAGAAAAAATTAACTTCTCCTTGCTTTTCAGTTATGGTACAGATCTAGATAGAAATACAGAATTATGTTTTTTGATGGAATGTTTGTCTAGTTGCACAAGACATAGGAAATAACATATGAAAGTTACTGTAGCAGCTGGTAAAATAGCTACAATGACTACAGAATGTTAGACTCGTAAGATTATGTAAACAAACAAACCTTGATAAGTGTCCTGCTGACACGCTCCCAGCGCAGAGCCATGCGCTCCTTCCGCTCCAGGATGTACCCCAGAATCTCCGAACCGCCGTCGTCTTCCGGCTGGTTCCAGGCGGCTGTCACGCTGTCCTTGGTCACGTCGCTCGTGGCGGGTTTACCCGGCGCGGTCGGGACGCCGAACGGCCAGGTGGCCACGACGTTCTCGGATTGCAGAGGTTCTCCCGCGCCGTTGTAGTTCACGGCAGAGATGCGGAACATGTAGGTGCAGTTGGCGGTCAGCTTCGTCACCTTGTAAGACGTCTTACGCACAGCCGCACTCACCTGGTATAAGAAGGGCAGTGTCTTAGAAAAATTCTTTACTCAAACATCATTTCATTTGGATTTACCAGATAGCTTATACACAATCTTTATTGACACAATAAAAGTATAGAGAACTTTGTAAGGTCTTCTGTGCAGCTATAGGTACCCAGGGACACCTGAAAACTAGGTCACAGAACTGATTGTGATCTTCTGGGAAAATAAAAATGAAATATTACCATAATTTTAATTCTGAATCTATCCTAAGTTTATTCAAGAAATCTTATAAAATTCATATTAACCAAGAAGCAACAATATTTCAACAATTTTCAATGATTTGCTACGGAAGTACATGTAGATGTTTTCAAGACTTCTCAAGATGTTTTCAAGACAAGTGTTATCAAGACATTTTCAAGACATCTCCAAGACATTTCCTTACCTTAGTCCAGACCCCAGGAGACTTCATGTCACACTTCTCGATGAGGAAGTTGCTGATGGGCAGGCCTCCGTCGTCTTCAGGTTTCTCCCAGGTGAGAACACAGGAGTTGGGCGTCTTGTCAGACACCTTCACTGGGCCGACTGGCTTGCTTGGCTTACCTGAAGTCAGAAAATTACACATACAGGTGAGTCAACTACCTAAGATATACTGTTATATGGCCTGTTTTGGTCAGTATACTACAGTAAATATCATTTCTTTAAAATGGTAAAGAATTATTGAAGAATCGCAACACATGCAAATTAATGTCCCTTTCTCCAAAATTGTGGAAATATTCATAGAAAAAATGATATAAGATCTTGTTTACATCAGTTGTTTTTCTAGCGCTACTGTAGTAGCTTCTTGAAGCTGAAAAGTCTAAGAAAAATGCAGCTTCACACCCAAGAAAATTTCAAATTCTGGAAATGTTCAATCGACATTCATAGATATTTTTAACTACTTAAACTTCTTAAACAGAAAACTTTTAGTTCCTTACCGATGACGTTGACGGTAATCTTGACATCTGCCACGCCGCTGTTGTTCTTAGCGCTGAGCACGTAAGCCCCACTGTCGGCTCGGACGGCGTTCTTAATCACCACGGAGACGTTGTTCTGCGCCTTCTCGAAGCGGACGCGGTCGGACTTCATGAGCGTGGAGCGTCCGCGTGTCCAGTTGAGGTCGGGGTCGGGCTTGCCGGCCACGCCGACGGTCAGTTTGATCTGATCGCCTTCGTTCACCTGCAGCTTGTCCTTAACCTTCAGGTCCAGCCTGGGGGGAGCTGGAAATGGACAAGAATATCGATCAATATTTTGTCAAAAACATTGATTAAAACTGATTTTCTGTGCTACAAAAAAAACATGTTAGTTCAGTTAGTCCTTCAATTTGTGTGGCTCAAGGTAGGTTATGACTGACATATAGTACATACCAGTGTTGACAGTCATGGTTCTAACAAGCATGAAATTATTCAAAAGAATACCTAAAAGTTTACCAGTGATGACTTGTTTCTTAAGAGCAGCTTAAATTTAATTGATTTTCATGATATTTTTGTCAGATCTGCTCTTTTAGTATGGAATAGATGACACATATTGTGAAGACATATTTTTTACAATCATGTAGATCTACTTTTTTGATTTAAATCATGTCAACTCATGTTAAATCAGACCCCTAAACCCTGACCACTAACCCATAACCCCCAACCCTTAACCCATGACCTACCAATATCGTCCTTGCAGACGACAGGTGGCGTAGGCTCGGAGCTCTCGCCGATCACTCCCGCCGCGTTCTTGCCGGTGACGCGGAACTGATACCGGTCGCCCGAGATCAGACCCTTCACCGTGTACTCAATGTCATTTATAACACCTGCAGGGAGATAGGAAGGTTTAGTAAATAATTGTATCATTACAGCATGATAGTACCTGTGAAAATGACAGCAATGCATTTTGATTTACAGTTACTGTAACATTTATCTAATAATTTAAGATTAAAAGCCAAACAACTGAAATTTGGAAGAAAAAATTTGATAATATAAAGTTTCAGTTTCTTTAATTTTAATAAAAAGGACTCAGCCTAGGAACTTCAAGATATTTCTTAAGTTGGGTCAACTTGCAGACTACATTTTTTGGAAAGAATTATACAATCCAAGAATTACAATCCATACTTTAAGAACCAAACCAAAGCCCTTAAAAATCAAGACAGCATGATCAGGAACTGACTTGTGTTAATACCAGGACCCGACTTATGCTAAGGACTCTTGAGAACCAAACCAAATCAAGTTTAAAAACTGACCTGTGTGTACGAGGACCCACTTGGGTTTCTCCTTAACGTACACACTTATTACCTTCGCCAAGAAGGTTATGTTTTTAGTAGCGTTTGTCTGTGTGTGTGTGTGTTTGTGTGTGTGTGGTTTAGCAAGATAACTCGAGAAGCAGTGGATGGATTGGAATGAAACTTGGTAGGTGGGTAGGACTTCATGAGACCTAGAAATGATTAGTATTTTCGGGCCCCCTGGCGGCTTTCCTAGGTACTGCAGCTGAACTTCCGGTTTTGATATCTCATGTTCTGGACATGCTAGGGTCATGAATTTTGGTTGGTAGATAGCTCTTGGGGTAGGAAAGAAGTGACATAAGTTTGGGTCCCCTAGCGCCTTGTTCTGGAACTGCAGGAGCATTTGTTGAAAAAAATTTGAAGGGCGATAACTCAAGAACCGGTTGACGTATTGTCGTGATTTTTGGTATGTAGGTAGTTGAAGTGATGCTTGACATAATCAAATGGCAATTATGCAAATCAGGACTTAATTTGCATAATTAATGAGGAAATTCTTTAAATCTGCTTTGTTCGATAATAGAACTATGAAACACTTGTGACATCTACTTGAGAACAAGAAAAACATCTATAGATTATGTAAATGAGGACCTAATTTGCATAATTAATGGCAAATTCTTATAATTCCATAGTTGTAACTGCTGCACCCCGAATTTCATACTTGCCACATTTGGAAGTTAAGTGAAGGTGAACAGCAATAAACATAACTTATTCAAATCATGACCTCATTTGCATAATTTATGAGGAAGTGCTATAATAGCCTTTTTGTTAAGATAAGGCTGTCATTGGGTGGAGAATATGATCAACTGATATAATCCATGCAAATGAAGCTCTTATTTACAAAATCAATGATTAAAATTGTATAATTTGTCACCCGCAAGGGATAACATCATTTGGCGAAGGTATGAGATCGTGGAACTCTTGTTAATGACATTTAAAGCTCCCTAAAGAAAGTTTAGAGTTCCTGAAAGAAAGTGTGACTGACCTGTGTGTACGAGGACCCACTTGGGTTTCTCCTCCTTAATGTACACACGTGTTAAGAACCGAACCTAAGCCCCTAAGAAAGTAGAACTGTCTTTAAGGACTGAGAACTGACCTGTGTGTACGAGAACCCACTTGGGTTTCTCCTCCTTGACGTTCATCCTCTCCACCATGTAGCCGATGATACGGGATCCGCCGTCTGTACGAGGCTTGTACCAGTGCAGCGACACCGAGGCGCGGGTTACCTTGGTAACGCGAACGTCCTGCGGCGGCGACACCGGGTCCACGATCCTCACGGGAGGCGTTGGGTCACATGGCTTGCCGTTGCCTAGGGAACGGGTTGACAAGATTTCATTTAAGAGGTTCAATTGCCAACATATAACACATTCATTGGTCACATATACATTGTAGTTTCTGGAAGCAGTAGTTCTATATTTAATTTTAATAATATGAAGATTTGAATAAAAGGTACATTTGTATGTTTTTCCTTGCACCTACCTTATAACATTACATGATCAATTTTGCATAACATAATAACTTTGAATACATCTTGCTTTGACATTTTCTTACATCTCTTGTCTGACTGAAATTCCTTGATTGATGTTTATTTAAAATACAGTCTAATACAAAAGTGTATCTTGTTTTCAACACATAAATAGTCACAGAATTAGCCTACTGAATCAAAAATGAATACTAATAAAATGTAAAGTTTAACTCACCAGCAGCGTTGAGTGCATACACACAGAACTCGTATTCTGCACTCCCTACATATCTACATATTTCCTTACTACAACACTAGTACTTCTGAATGAAACTCACCAGCAGCATTGAGTGCATACACACGGAACTCGTATTCTGCATTCTCCGTCAGACCGGTGGCCTGGAACTCGCACTTCTTCAGCACGTAGCGGACGGCGCGCATCCACTTCTGGCTGCCGCGTTCCCGCTTCTCCACGCCGTACCCGGCGAGTTCCGAACCACCGTCGTCTTCCGGACACGTCCACTTCAGGAACGCGGACTCCTTGTTCACCTCCGTCACCTTCAGGTTTCGTGGCTGGGACGGGGGATCTGGGGAAGGGAGGAGGTTGTTACAAGTCAGGAAATAACTGGGTGTTGACTTTGTAGTGGTACTACATGATCTACTCATTTGGACTTAACAATCATATGGAATGTCCCCCATTGGTCTATCACCATACATGCATACATGTATGACTACAAGGCTTTGGATTGTCTGCAACAGCTGGCCTACAACTGGAAGAGATCTTCTTATTTGGCCGAATTGATCTACTATCTACACACCAGTAATGAACAGAGACAAGGGAAGGGGTATAGGGGCTGTTCTTCACAGAGCAGGAAGGAGTACAATTCTTGATTGAGAAATTAAATGCATCCAAGTGAAAGAAGAAATTCAGATACGACAAACTGGCATCTTGCCTCAGATGCTTTAGAAATATTTGTGGATTATCAAAATAAATGAATAAAAGCAAGGGCCTTACCATAGGGATGCTTGGCAACGACGACTCCGGATGTGAGTCCCTTTCCGACGCCGTACTTGTTCTCAGCAGAGATGCGGAAGATGTAGCTCCCATTCTCCGTAAGCTTGGTGATCTTCAGACTGGTCCTCTTCACGCCCGCGCTGACGTACACCCAGGACGCGCCGCGGTTGTCCGACTTCTCCACCACGTAGTTGGAGATGGCGCTACCGCCGTCGTCCGTCGGAGGCTGCCAGCTGATGGTGGCGTGTTCAGGAGAAACCTCCTCGATCTCAACTGGGCCGACGGGCGGGCCAGGCTTGCCTGGGGGGACAAGGCAGGTTCAGGTTAAAATTGGCTCTTATAATAGTTTCTGGTTATAACACTTCAGAACTCTTTTGTTCACAAATAGTTTTGGATTATAAGAACTCTTTTCTCAAGATAGTGATGCTGGCTGTACTCAAGAATTCTTTTCAGAAGTTTCTGCTTATAATAACTTCAGACCTCTTTTCTTTACAAATCCATTAAACTGTACAGTAATTTTTCTATTCCTAATGATTTGTAAAATACCAATGCCATTCAGTCAACTTGATATCAGTTGGAAAAAACTTCAAGACAAGAATCTGTAGGTAACAAATCTGTAGGGAGACTGAGGCATAGGGTTGTAAGAAGAAACTCTCACCTAGCACGTTGACGTTGAACGTTGCCGACTCCTTGCCGACCTTGTTCTCGGCTGAGACGCTGTACTGGCCCTGGTCACGCTTCTGCACCTTCCTGATGAACAGGGTGGTCGACTCGTGGTTGGTCTTGGTCAGGCAGTGGTCAGACTCACGCAGGACGCCCAGGCCACGATTCCACACCACCTGGGATTCAAGTAAAATAAGCTTCAATGCAAGAATCTGCTGATCATCTTTGTACTGAAACTAGAAAGGTATCATTACTAACTAATATTAACAGCCAATAATCCCAGTTGTGGGGAATGGCAGTAACAAAGAACTGAAGCAAAGGCCACAAGACCACACCACCTAGAGTTAACATTGAAATAAGCTTCAATGCATGAATCTGCAGTTAACAATCATCTTTGTACTGAAACTAGAAAGGTTGTAGCACAAAAACAAATGAATAAAAACCCTACCTTAGGCAGTGGAGTTCCACTCATGCCAATCTTGACAGCGATGTTGGTGCCTTCTTTCACAGTGATGGAGTCTCCATGGAGACCGCTCAGGTCTAGCACAGGAGCAACTGGAGCAAGGAGATGGGGAGGTATGATCAGTGATGCAGGTCATGTTTGCTGCAGTATAGATTGATGACACAATCCTGTCTTTACACAGTCATCTACCAAGACACCAATAACGTCCTGGACTCCAATATTTTTCACAGAAAAATAAAAAATGAAGCCAAGGTAACAGTTTTTCTGTCACAGAAGCAATGAACCTTTTGCTGTGTCTTCTTTTGCAAACTAAGACACAAATTGTTAGCTTGGGCCTGTATGTATCATGAAAACCAAGTCACAAAATGTTAGCTTGGGCCTATATGTATCATGAAATCCAAGACACAAAATGTTAGCTTGGGCCTATATGTATCATGAAAACCAAGTCACAAAATGTTTGTCTTAAGAAAAACTAATGACTTACAGAGCTGCTCCTTGACGATGACAGGTTCTGTCTCTGCAGGTTCGCTGACGGCGCCGACGTTCTGCGCCATGACTCGGAACCTGTACTCATCGTGCGTGATCACGTCGGTAACCGTGTATCTCTGGGCACTCATGGCCGTGCATTTCTCCCACTCCGGATGCTCGGCGCTCATGTGGAGTTTCTCCACGATGTAGCTGGTGACGGCGCTGCCGCCGTCAAAGTCAGGCTTTCCCCACGTCAGGCTCACGCTGTACGGCGTGATCTCGGTGATCTTCAGGTTCTTCGGAGGTGCTGGGGGCTCTGCAAAGGACAAGGTGTACAGAGATCAATAGTCTTTGTAAAAAGGGCACCAGATATTCACAAATTAGATTATTCAAGATCTTTGGTGGTTCTGTGTGCTCTGCAAAGGGTAAGGTGCACAGGGACTAACAGAACTTTTGTAAGAAAGTTCACCAGACTTTACCAGAAGTTTTTCCGTAAGTACATACAACATTTTGAAAACTACATCAAATGAGGAGTGACTTCATGTTGTCTTTTTCCAGTGGTGATGTTGATATTGGCAGCTTGCTAGACTTTGTCACCACGGTGTCCTGTACTTTTTCATGTTATCAAAAAATGGTGAAAACCTTTCAACTAGACCTCTGGAGCTGGTCTACAAAGTAGGAAAGTAGGTACAAAGTTAAGTAAGAAAAAAGTCTGCCATAATTGCTTAAAGCTATACATATCAAGTTTACAGAGAAAGATTGTAAACTGTGCTGTACGTACCGACAGGGTCCATGGCTAGGATCGGTTCCACGGTGTCTGCAGGCTCTCCCACCCCGATGTCGTTAATGGCCATGACACGGAACAGGTACTGGTTACCTTCCACCAGGGTCTTCACACGGAACGTCGTCTTGTAGAGCTGGAGGGAAGGAAGGAAAGAAGCACATGTAAACAAATGAAGTAAGATATAAATGCTTTGATGAAGGTTAGATTAAGGTTAGATAAGATACCAAGAAAACAGTTACTCTATTGCAAGCAACTGGATAGATATTGAAAATGGTCAGAGGTTCCAAGTAGTATCCACTACTCTTTGTCAAAGTCGGTGTTTAGTTGTGTATTGGTCAGTAACAGTTATTTACATATTTTACAAATGAGTAGATTGTGTTCAGCACCATGTGTTTCATTCAGCACCAAGGACAGGCATGTTTGACTTTGTGTAATGGTGTTCAGCACCGTTTGTGTGTGTGGATGGTGTTCAGCACCGTTTGTGTGTGTGGATGGTGTTCAGCACCGTTTGTGTGTGTGGATGGTGTTCAGCTCTAAGGAACATGTGTCCACCACATTTTTTGAATCGACCGGCATTTTGCATCAATTCTGATATTTTCTAAGACATTAGAGAGTGTCTAAGATGATAAAACAGATGTCTTACGTTCTCCTCGACAGTAGACCACATCCTCATGCTGGCTTCCTTCTTCTGCAGTGTGTATCCACTGATGGCCTTGCCTCCGTCCTTGTTGGGCGGTCCCCAGGACACGATGGCAGCGTTCCTCGTCACGTCACGAACCTTCAGGTTAGTGGGCGCTCCGGGGGTGTCTGGGGAGGGGAACAGAACTTTATTGTATGACATTTGTAGGTACAATGTATGGCAAATTGTACATAGAAGTTGAACTCCTGCCTATATCTAACATTTGTAAGAATCACCAAAGTGAAGGTAGTGAAAAAACCTTTGCTGAAGCACTTTTTAACTTGCTCTTTTTTGTGAATGTATGACTGTGAATTCAATGAAATGAAGACTGCCAAAGGAATGCTGGAATGTCATACTACTATCATGTAAATTAAGTCTTTTGAAAGCAATTGTGTTGTTTGTAACCTTCCGTTGTACTGCACCTTGTGTCAGTCTGTATCCATAGGTTTGTTACAGTGTGGCTGTACATTGTGATTTCTGAGAGGCAGGTTCTGTTCAAGTTTATGCATTGTGAAGTAGAGAAGAAAAAGAGTTAGCTACGTACCGATAACCTTGACATTGATGCCGACACTCTTGGTTCCGGAGTCGTTCTCCAGCGTGAGGTTGAAGCGTCCGGCATCGCGTCGATCGGCAGACTGGATCACCAGCTGGGTGTCCTTCTCAGTTGTGTCAATCTCTGCACGGTTCTCCAGGTCACTGGAAAATGCAGGAAAAGGATGAGCTACTGTAATAGTGTGGCTATGCCAGCAATGACTGAAATCTTCAATGTAAACTACCTTGGTCAAAACTAAAATGGCCACCTAGAAGTATGAAAATTCAAATACTATCATTAATAGTTTCTTGAACCTTTAGAAAGAGGATGATAAGATTTTCTAAAGTTTTTTTTAAGGATGACAAGATTTCTTCAGGCAAAGGAGAAAAATAAGAACTTCAACCAAAATTTGGAGAGTGATTAGAAAACTGCAGGCATCCATAAGCCATTAATCCAGGACAACATTGACATAAATGTCTAGAAATAGATTTAAGATCGAGCCATCAATACACATTCAAAAAGTTTCCTGTTTTTCTCAAACTAATGATGTCCCTACCTGTCTTCCTTCTCCCATGTAGCAGTGGGCACAGGTTTGCCCTTGATGGGGATGAAGAACTTGATCTGTTCTCCTGCACGGACGGTCACCATCCGCTTGTACAGGGCATCCATCACCAGGTCTGGGGGAACTACAGGGGGGAAATGGGCAAAATCAATTATAGATTCACAGCCTTGAAAAAAAACAACATCTCTTTACCTTATATTGACGACACATTATGCTGGGTTATAGGGAAAAATTGCAATAAGATTCAGGTCTTCATTTCTGTCCATGTTGTGGGGAATTGTAGAGAAATAGTGTAAATTACTTAGAACTTGTAGAGAGGAAACACCAAAACTAGTGCAAACTAGTGCACAGTGAAAATCACTGATGAATCAGATATGTACATGTAGACTGAGGGAAACCATTTTTTATCCTTTTAGCTACCGAATCTCAAGAGAAATAGTGGAAATTATTTTCTTTTTCTACAAGAAACATCTTTAGCTGCCGTACCCTTGAGTTCCCTTGGTGCGGTCCATCCGGGCACCTCGTTGGGTTTGCCGATGCCGAGGTCGTTGACTGCGCTGACCCTGAACTTGTAGGCCTGCAGTTCCACCAGGTCTGTCACTAGCAGCTCTGTCTGGCGGATCTTCTCCTGGTGGGAGGAAAATAGCAGCAGGGTCAGCTCAGAGGTCAAGGATCCGGAGTTACATATCAAGTGTGGTTGAACTAAATTTCTCTTGCCAAAGGTTCTTCTTTCCACCTAGACCGAAACGTTAACAAATGATTTTTTTTTGGTTAACAAATGATGGAGTGGTTCTCTTCTATTTTTGTCTACAAGCCCTTCTACAGCAACTGTTTCTGCTTTTTTCATGGACTGCAAATTATGGCACTCTCATCCTGGCAAGTGTTTCCTCTTGTATACAACCCACAAGCCTTCAAAATCAACTGTAATCTCCTACCACAGACACCTAGTAGTACATATATCTCCCACCAACTTACATGTAGTTCAGTGCCTAAATATGATCCTTTAGCCAGACACAGCTAAGCTCTCCAGACAAATAAAATGACTCTGGAAGTCCATGTTTTCCTACTCTTTTGTGCCATTGTCTTTGTCAGATTTAGGTAGATATCTTATCCCTTGTCCTGCTATGCGCAACATATGTTGCGCGGCACATTCAGTACCATCTATATAACACCCTGTATAGGTACGATTTGGGGGTATTTCTCGTGCAACGGATTACACCGCAGCGAAACGCAACGAATGCGGAAGTAACTATGCCACTGCAGGGCAAAAAAATTTAGTTTTTTTTTATCTAATTAAGACATGAAAATATTGAAAAATATTGTGTCAGGAATGACAAGCAGGACAAGGGTTAAGAAAAGAAAGAGAAAGATGTACCTTGAGGTGACACTTGTGCCACTCCTCCTCCCCGAGGATGAGGTTCTCCACGATGTACCCAGTGACGCGAGCGCCGCCGTCGGTGGCAGGCGGTCCCCACTGCAGCAGGACTGTGGTCGGGGTGCAGTCTAGCACTTCTGGTACCTCAACAAGACCTGGCATTCCTGTAGTAAGGAGAAAATTAGCGATTAGTTCTAAGTTCATCTTTAATCAAAGTATCAGTCAAGTCTCGTGTGAATAAGATAACGTGTCTGTAACTGTAAAATTTTGCAGTGATTGGTCATTGATAATCCTGATGAAGGCGATAGTGTTCATTGAAAATTTCATCTCTGTGTAACCTTGTGTTGGAATAAAGTTCAACGTTTTACTAGGTTCATTTTTATTAGGTACAGACAGATTCAAAAGCCCAGGCATTGCAACCCCTGAGGAAAAATGGCAATAAAGAGGTTCGTCTTAAAGTTTATTGTTTCAGGAACAGAAATATATTGCCTACGATGCAAATAGACAAGGTTGTGAGAAAGCACAATGTTCTTGTATTCCCTACTTTAAAAAAGTTAGTTGTGAGCAACTGCAAGGTTCTAGCTACATGTAGAGGTCCTGATGGTGAAAAGAAGATGCCAGTGTTCTCTTGTTTAAAATGACTGGTGATCAGGCCGACCACCTTGTCTGGGAGACAGTTCCAGATGTGTACTGGGTTGAAGAGGAAACACAGACAAACAGACAGACAAACCCACCTGCAGGATCGGCGGCAGTGTACGGGATGGAGGCAGGGCTGTTCTTGCCGCGGCCGGCGCGGTTCTCGGCCGACACGCGGAACTCGTAGTCCAGACCCTCCTCCAGGTCATCCACAACGATCTTCCTCTCGTCTGGGCCCAGGATCTGGGGAGAAGACGTCTTAGGTTAGCACTATTTCTTAAAGTATTCCTCTGTATCAGTAAGTGCACCACACTTATTTGCAGAACAGACATCACTAGATCTAGCTTTTTCCCAAGAACAGTCATTTTGGAATGCATTACCAGCATATGTACAATGTAGTTACATCACCTTCAGTTAAGCCCAGTATTTGGGTCACCTAAAGTCCCAGATTGTGTGAATTGGGAATTGCTGTATAAAGTCTAGATCTTTTGATATTACACTTCTTAGCACCTCAACCCACTATGACATGCACCCTAGGCCTGGGCAGAATACCCTGGCTAAGGGCTTTGCCCAGTACACTATACTACAGAATAGAATGATAGTAAACTTGAGAGAAGAACCAAAAACAGACTCTGATGTCTTGTTGAGTCTAGCTCTCCCAGCGTACAGATGTGCGTTCCTTGCACACAAACATGGGCATTTTAAAAAGGCTACATTGTGTCAGCCTGTAGTTTTAGGTGTAGCAATATCTTTTGGTAGTTAAAATAGAGAAGAAACATGAAATGCGCCATCTCACCTCCCTGTTGAGTCTCTCCCAGCGTACAGAAGTTCTCTCCTTGCGCTCCACCCAGTAGCCGAGGATGTGAGATCCTCCGTCAGAGTCAGGCTCGTCAAACATCAGAGTCAGTCTGTCCTTCGTCACGTTCTTCGCTACAGGCTTGCCGGGCGCACTCGGCGTGTCTGTGTTACAAGAAACATGGACAATGTTTTAGTGATACATTTGTGGCGACCTGTAGTCTGAGATGTAGCAATACATTGTATCTTTTCAGTTAGTAGTTTGGGCTAAATTATTTAGACTGAAACATTCTCAGCAAAAAGTCCTACTGGCAGGTCTATTTCAGATAAACATGGACATAGCAACCTGTATAATATTATTAGCATGTAGCAATATCTTTTGGCTAAAACTTTGGGCTAAATAATTCAGACTGAAACATTGAATCACTAGAGAACAAACACTCAAGATAGTTTTCTAGAGATGACAAGGCAGCTACGTGTGGAGTATAATGTAGATCAGAGATAGCAGACTTCACACCCACTAGCAGGACATATAAGTAAGAAACTGCAGTGCAGAAACACAGGCAAGCAAAAGGAAACACTGCCTTCACTCTTTTGAAGCCGATGTAAACAACAAAATGTTGAAGTTGGCACTAGCGACACTCACCAAACTGATACTTGGCCACAATGGCGGGAGTCATCAGAGGTTCACCGGGCCCGTTGTAGTTGGCAGCACGGATGCGGAACAGGTAAGAAGAGCCGTGGGTCAGCTTGGTGATCTTGTAGTCTGTCTTCCTGATAGCAGAGCTCACCTGGGGGGCAAGAAACATCAGTCATTCTTAGTCCTCATTCAAGAAATACGATACATAAAAATGGCACTGTGCCAATGCAATTCTTTGAGTGTACATATCTATAAGCCTTTTAGGTCTCATAATTCATAAAAGATGGAAATCCAGTCAGATGGAATCAGATGGAAAGTTGACATGTAGTTCAAAGTACAACTTGTCAGCTGTAATTCAAAGTTCAATGGCCAGCTTTTATTCAAAGTTTATCAGCATTCTCTACAAACATACAAGTGGAAGGGAGGGCAAAACAAGTCCTTTACAAGTTGCCCTTCTATAAGTTCAAAGTGCAATGGTCAGCTGTAGTTTAAATTTTTTTGTTTCTCAGAATTCTCCACATATATACAACGTGTCTTTAACACCTTTACAAGTTTGCCATTTCATAAGTTGAAAGTTCAAAGTTGAATGGTCAACAGCTGTAGTTGAAAGATCACCCACCTTGACCCAGTCGTCGGGAGTCTTGGGGTCGCAGCGCTCCAGGATGTAGTTAGTGATGGGCATGCCTCCGTCGTCGTCTGGCGGGCCCCAGTTCAGCTTCACAGAGTCTGGCGTGATCTCACCGATCACTAGATCTGTCGGCTGGCCAGGGCGGGCTGGATCACACAGAAATAACACAGATTAGGATCACACAGATCATACATAAGGATCACAGATCCCCAGTTCAGCTTCACAGAGTCCGGCGTGATCTCACCGATCACTAGATCTGTCGGCTGGCCAGGGCGGGCTGGATGGGATCACAGATCATGGATTATGATCGTGGAATGATTATTACATACAGTTATTACATCAAGACTTGTATACTAAAAGGTGCAGATGTATTGTGATGGTACGTTTTGATTAATTAAGAGGGTCACATCATTGTATTCTTGTTTATTCGGGTGATAATTCAGAACACCTCCTTTGGTTTGCAATATACACAGTCAGCCATACATTGATTCGGTACGAGATTTTGCGAGACTTAGTTTGACCACTGTTGGTCGCATATTTCCATAAGTTAAGGGTATACATAGAAAAAGATTAAAATGATGATACCTGTCGATTTGTGTGCCTTCTTTGTTTAGCTAGAAGGTTAAGACTGAGTTTTGCATGTTTTTCAGTGGGCACAAATTTGAGAGCAGTGTACTCACACAGCACGTGGACCTTCACCGAAGCATCGTCCACTCCGCTGTTGTTCTTCACCGTGCACGTGTACACTCCGTCGTCGGGGCGATCCACGTCGTGGATGGTTACTATGGCGATGCGGTCGGTGACCTTGAAGTGTACGCGCGTGCTCTCGATGAGCGGGCGGTTTCCCCGTGACCAGACCACGTCAGGCTGGGGTTTGCCGCTGATGCAGGCGACGAGAGACATCATCTGTCCCTTCATGATCTCCACTGTGTCCTTGTTCTTCACATCCATCTGAACCTTCGGTGGTGCTGGGGAAGGGGGCGGAGAAAAACGTGTTAGAGCAGAAGTTGACTAAAGCTCTAAAGATGTTCAAAAGTACTACATGCAGTTGACTGTGGGGTTGTATCTTGACAGATTTTTAAAAAGTTGTCATCATGCTTAAGGTGTGAAAGTTGTCAATTGATGTGGAAAAGGTGCAACAATATCATCAAGTTCTTGAATTTTTCTAGAAAGTGGTCTGAAATGCCAAACCAAGGTCTAAAAACAATGTCTGCTCCCATGCCTATAAACAGTTTTAATTTTTAACAATAGTCAATTGTTTCTCTTTATTTATGTTGGACATATTGTATGCTGCTTTAGCCTTCAGGCATACATTTGCAAATAAACTTCTATGTTTAAAAATGTTTTCCAGAATATCTCACCCAGATCGTCCTTGCAGACGACAGGCGGTGTGGCCTCGCTCTTATGGCCCACGATACCGGCAGCGTTCTTGGCGGAGACGCGGAACTCGTAGCGCGCGCCCATCATCAGGCCCTTCACCGTGTACTTGAAGTCGTTGATGACCCCGGGATGCACGGCGACCCACTTCTCACCCTCCTTGGTCATGTGGCGCTCCACGATGTACCCGATCACCTTACTTCCCCCATCACTTAGCGGTGGCTCCCACCTGGGATGGGTGAAAACGAAAATGTTTAAAAAGATGATCCTAATTCACTGTAGTTTGCTGATGAACTCTTCTGACAGAGAAGATGGCACTATGTACAGTATATACAATGTACCGTCACTTAGAAGTGGTTCCCACCTAAGATAGGGGAGAACAGGAAAATTAGAAATGTTATCTCAAAGCAGCTGAGCTTGTTGAAAAGTTTATAATTCTCCACATTGAGACACTAAGTACAGTACATACAGGTATGGGGGAATTCCCCTTTACAGGTACAACAAACAAGAACAATGGACAAGTGCTATTCAAACTGGTCCTTCCCACTTCAATTTCTTGGTTATTAAAAAGCTGTTGCACAATCAGTCATGCATCGCTAATCTTCAAGCCCAACGTGAGTCCTTTGAACAAACAGGTTCAGGGAGTGAATACAGCCAGATTCAAGTTTTCCTCCTATCTCTCTGTTTTTAAGGAATCTTCTTGCTAAAATTTTACATAGTAATGTATGAGAACCAAGAAGTTATATATAAAGAAAATGGTGAAAATGTAGGAAGAAGTTTGACGTACCGAAGGGTGACGGAGGACCTAGTGACGGTGATCAGGCGAACTCGCTGGGGCGGTGTGACCGGGTCGTACGCGTACACAAAGTCAGACAGCTCGCTGTAGGGTCCGGTGCCCGCGGCATTGATGGCTGACACACGGTACTCGTATTCTTTGCCTGAAACACAAGAAAAAAAATTATTGTAAGGCCAATAAAAAGTTCCCATATGCTGTGTATTACATTGTTTGGTAAGTAAGCTATAACAGTGTAATAAACTTTGAAATGAGTGTTTAAAATTGTCTTCTTGTCCCTTTGCCATGGTTGGTATTCCTTGCCTGGGACACAGGATGAGACAAACAAATTGATTCGTAAGCACTATAGAAATTTCCCATATGCTGTAAGTTTTAAAACATTGTTTGGGCAACTAAGCTGTAACGGTGTAATAAACTCTATTTAGAGAGTGTTCAAAAATGTTCTCGTCCCTTTGTCATAGTTGGTAACATATATGTAGGATGATTCCTTGCAATCATCATGCATGACCCCCAATCAGCACTTACTGTATCTCCCAGAAAAAGTTGGTAGCGTACTCATTTGCATATTCGGGACAACTTAAATGAAGCCGTTTCCAAAACGTTTGAGTGTGATGTAATTCCAATCTCTCCTGCTAGGTGGCACTTTTCACCCACCTGTAGTGAGTCCAGTGGACTGGAACTCTGTTTTCTTGACAGGGTAGCGGGAGGCCTTCATCCAGCGAGAGCCTCCCCGCTCCTTACGCTCGACCATGTAGCCCAGGATCTCAGAGCCTCCATCGCTGGCCGGCGCGCTCCAACGCACGTGCATCGCGTCCTTGGTGGCGTCGGTGACGGTCACATCACGTGGCGCGGATGGCGGGTCTGGAAAGGATTTGGTTTTAAGTTTTAATATTTTCTCACATGTAATTGTCTAGTCTTAAGATTACTTATAAATTTACTTCTCTCCACTTGATAAGATTTAGTTGACATTCAAGATTAAGTAGCCAGTAGTCCTTGACAAGAACATGTGCCTATATGTGCCTAATGTAGGTAATCTACTTGAAAGCCACATGGCTGTATGCATCATGTTTCTGTATGATCAAAACAAATCAAGTTCCTTGACAAGAGACATAGAAGTTTTGCTGTAGGAAATATTTAGAAAGTCCCACATACCGAACGGCAGTTTTGCGATGACCGACGGTGAGTTGAGCGTCTTCCCGGTGCCGAACTTGTTCTCGGCGCTGATGCGGAAGATGTACTCCTTGTTCTCCGTGAGCTTCGTGACGCGGAGCGTGCATCGCTTCACGTTGGAGCTGACGTAGACCCAGCTGATGCCGCGGTTGTCAGACTTCTCCACCACGTAGTTAGAGATGGGCGCGCCGCCGTCGTCGTCCGGAGGTTTCCAGTTCAACGTGATCGACTCCGGACCCACGTCCTCAAAGTCGACCGGGCCGTTACACGGGCTCGGCTTGCCAAGGACCTGGGAAGGGACAAACATAACATGAGGTTAAGCAAAAGATTCTAATTATGAGTTACATTGTAGTGCAACAAAGTTACTATTATTATAAATATTCACAAGGCAGTAGTAAGTGCATAATGCAATATGGACATTCAGATAAGTGTCACTAAGTAGACCAGAAGGTTCTAAATTAGTAGACTTAGTCTAAAAGGTTCTGACTACATCTGTAGCTTGGAAGGTTTTACACAGTGCAAGTTTTAGTTACCTTCAGAGTCAATAGATCAATCAATAAATCAATAAATCAATCAATCACCTTGAGCGTGAACTCTGCCCTGGCAGACCCGAGTTTGTTCTCGACCACCACGGCGTACGTGCCAGCGTCCGCCTTCCTGATCTTCCTCACGATCAGCGTGGTCGAAGTTTTCGTGTTCTTTGTCGTCATGGAGTCTGACTCGCGTAGCTCGCCCAGGCCGCGGAGCCATGTGATCCGCGGCTTAGGCCAGGCGCGGAACAGGACCGGAAGGTTCAGGTCGATGCCCTCCTTTACGGTCATGACGTCGCTTGGGATCTGGCTCAGGTCAAGGGTAGGCTCGTCTGAGAACGGGGTAAGGTAAGGAAGAACAGTTAGGAAAGGGGTAAAGGAGGAATAGTTAAAGTCAAGTTTATTGCACAACTGTAACAGGTACACTGTAAGGCACATTGTTGTACTAACTTCAATGAGGTAAGGAGGAACAGTTATGAATGGGGTAAGGTTAGATAATTTTTTGTATGACCACATTTGAAGAATGATATCTGCAGCTCTGGCACAAGAAAAGCAAGCTGTAATATCAATCTCAACTCTAAGCTGTAAATGTTTTGATAACAGTTCATTTTTCTTCATTTAGCAGGTAATTTCTAAGCAAGGCACAATTAAACAAAGCTGTACAGTTATGCTAAGACTGACAGTTTTTTCTTCTTTGTGAAGGGTGATAAGGAAACATTCACTGGACATTTTGTAGCCAGAAATTACCCAGTAAAGCAATACACAGTGTGTTAACAAATACTGTCTGCTTACAGAGCAGAGACTAAGGTAAACAAACAAACAAACAAACTTACAGATCTGTTCCTTGGCGACCACAGGTCCGATCTCTGCGGGGTCGCTGGTAGCGCCGACGTTCTGCGCCGACACACGGAAGGTGTACTCATCGTGAGGCGCCAGGTCTGACACGCAGTAACGCGTCGCGTTGATGGCGGTGCAGCGCTCCCACTCTCCCTTAGCTGTGGGCAAAGACAAGGGTCCATGTAACTCTGGTTTATCTCATATCAAACAGTAAGTCAATCATATAATATATTCTTGGCTTAAGTGGGGTATAAGATTTGCATAGCGCTAACAGTCAATAAAAGTTGACAGTGCACTAAAAGTTTCTAAAGGTTGCCAGTTAAAACCAATACAATGTAAACATAGTGTTACAACTTTATAACATAATGAACTTTATACAAGGCTTCATGTTACTTGGAGAGGGACGAAATTTACAAGGTCTGGCTGGCAATCCTGTTTGTCAACTTTTAGTTCAGGATTTACATCACTTGAAAATTGTGGTCTGGTTTTAAGTCATGCCATTTGCAAGCCAAGAAACCAACCAATGAAAGCTATAAAAAAAATAACAAGATGCAGATAAAACTGATAAATTTTTAGAAAGAGACTTACTTGTCTCCATCTTCTCCACCAGGTAGCTGGTGATGCGGCTGCCGCCGTCAAAGTCTGGTCGTGTCCAGGTCAGGGTGACGGAGATCGGAGTGATCTCTACAATCTGCAGCTTCTTAGGAGGCTCTGGAGGAGCTGTGGGGGAGAAAACAACATTTAGCAAAAGTGAAAACGTGGACACAAATCATAAAAGATGCTTAAAACCTCCGAAGGCACATTTTGATCACTCCTTTTAAGTAGTCTTTGCAAAAACAATTCTATGGAGCAGTATAAGGTGAAAAAACAAATGATGAAACAATTTTTTTGTGTTGACATTACACTTTCGAGAAGCCAAGTGACAAGTCTCACTGGGTCAGTTTATCAAAAAGATCAGAGTGACTGATTGATTCTCTAGATCAGAACAATCCTTGAAGTTGGAACAAAAGTTTTACCTCTAAGCCATAGATTATAAGTCAGTTAGACTACTTGCATTGAATATTATTGCAAAGGTACATGTGTACTCACCAACTTGGTCCATAGCAAGGATTGGTGCCGGCGTCTCTCCGGGTTCACCGATTCCGATATCGTTCACGGCGAGAACGCGGAACAGGTAGTTGTTTCCTTCCACCAGGTTGGTGATGCGGTAAGACGTCTTGACGATGTTTGCGTCTTGAGTTGTCCAGGTGCGTCGGCTGGGCTCCTTCTTCTCCAGGATGTAGTGTGTGATGGACTTGGAGCCGTCCTTCAGCGGCGGGGCCCAGACAATCACGGCGGCGTTACGTGTCACGTCACGCACACGCACGTGCTCAGGGGGGCCAGGGGTGTCTGTAAGAAATACACAGGTGTACAGGTGAGACTTCAAACAGGTGTGATTTGAACAGGTGTGAAGATGAGATTTGGAACAACATATTAAGCACAAACAATGCTTCAATAAGAAAAACTAACTCTGTATCACTTGAGGTCAACATGAAATACGATAACTGTTACTTTGTGAAGATACAGGGCAAATAACTGAAAACGATTTTGAAAATTGTGGAAAAAACAACAAGCTTTGGCTTCATGAAATCGGAACAAGACAGATGTTGGTAGAAGTTAAGTTTGGCCTAAATTATGTCTTAAATGTAACCTTAGATGGTACTAAGTCATGGAATCTTCCTTGGTTTCAAGTAAAACTAGAGGACAAAGTTAACCTTTAGCACACCAAAGTAGCCATTTCAGTACAGATTCTCTATTGGTTACTGGATTAGGCAACAGGAAGAAGGTTAAGCCGTACCAATGACTTTCACGTTGATGCCGACAGTCTTGGTGCCGCTGGGGTTCTCCAGGGTGAGCTCGAAGCGCCCGGCGTCGCGGCGGTTTGTGTTCACGATCACCAGCTGGGTCGCATTCTCCGTGATCTCGATGTTAGCACGATTCTCCAGGTCACTGAGGGAACATACAGAAATTGTTTGTTTGGCCTAACTAGTGAACTACCTTAAGGCATAACACAGCATTTTTTTTTTACAGTAAAATACAACTTACTACAAGCTGTGTGAGACAGAACTGTAAGGCTTGATCCACAGGCTAACTATAAATGCAAGCTGCATAAGACAGAAGTCAACTGTAAGGTTTGAACCATTCACATTGGGAAGGACCTCTCCTCTTTTTGTGTGTGTTGGACACGTTAACATGCTTAAGAAGTGGCTGTGGAATTTCGTCACAAGCAGAGACAGAACCAAACACCGACAAGGATCTATGACAGTATTTTCTGTAAAAAGACAGCTGAATTTTTCAGCACTATCTATTAAGAATACCTTCAATTTGTGATCATAAGCATCAGGCCTTCAGTTTCAAAACAACCAAAACAAGAGAACAACATATGGCAGAAAGGATAGTCCGCTCACCTATCATCCTTCACCCAAGTAACCTTGGGGAAGGGTTTCCCGCGGACGGGCACGTAGAACCGGAGCGGAACTCCTGCCTTCACCGTAACAGTACGCTTCAGGGTCGCGTCCAGCTTACACTCTGGTGGGGCTGCAGAATAAGCACATCAAGGGTTACATTTTAGTTTCATGGCTGGAATATTCATGTCATAGGAACATTTTTTTTATGACTGAGTCAGAGATCTTTATTGTACACAAGGAAATTGTAACGCAACTGGATAGACTTTGAAAACTGTCAGACGTTTCAGGTAGCATCCACTACTGTTTGTCAGTCAAGCTAAGTACAGTCCGTGATATAAGAGTGCTCATATCATACTATTATAATAACATTATTAAAACCTATATAGTTTGCAAATTTGTCTTAAGAAAAATTTGTCTTAAACACAATATTGTCATAATGTCTTGAAGTTCATGTCTTGAGAATTTGGTCATGCATCACAAGCTCGTCTATTCCTTCATGTATAAGTGCCAAGGAATTTCTCATCTCTTAAGAAACAGCAGCATCTTTAAGACGTACCAGACATGTCCCTTGGGAAGATGATGCCCTCCAGCTGCGCGGGTTCCCCGACCCCGTACTCGTTCACGGCGCTGACCCGGAAGTTCAAACCTTTCCCTTCCTCCAGGTCAGGCACAACCAGCTCACAGGTCTTAATGGTGGACAGGCCATGGGCCTTCTTCCACTCTTCACTCTTCTGCAAAACCACAAACACAAAACCCACTTTTAGTTTCTACAATTTTCCTTCAATTCTGAAATCCACTATAAAGAGTCTTTACACTACCAAAAATGCTTTTTCTTGTTTTTCTTATTTTCTCATGGGAAGAAAATTTTTCTTTGGGGGAGAATAATAAGAAAAAAATAAGAAAAAAATAAATTTTCTGTATACCTACGTTCTTGCACCAAGAACAATTTTCTCATTTTTCTTGAGTGGAGATAATTTTTCTAAAATAGGCTTCTTTAAATCTTGATTTTTCTTTGGTGAAGAAATATTTCTAGAGGAGATTCTAACTTACAAGATTAGAATTCTTGTAATCTTGAAATTTCTTTAGTAAAGACAATATTTCTAGGGAAGATTCTAAGTTACAAGATTAAAATTCTTTTAATCTTATATTAATTAAAATTCCCTCAGACTTAGTTAAAGTTTCTTATTTAATCTCCATGGAAGATTTCTTTCTTACCTGACATCAAAGTGGTCAGATTTAAGATTTTTTTTCTTGTGTATTTCAAAAAATTTCTAGTTCATGTTACCGAGAATGATTGAAAAAGGCCATTCTTGTTTTTCTTAGCAATGTTTAAGAAAATACAAGAATTTGGTTCTTGTCTTTCTTGGGAAACACTGATTGGAAAAGCAAGAAATTTAATTATCTAAATCTATTATTAGAATAAAGCTCTGCTTAGTGTTTCTTTCTTAAAGTTTCTTGTTTTTCTTGACTAGAAAGCTTAAGAAAGATCATTCTTGTTTTTCTTGGCAACATTTAAGAAAATACAAGAATAAAGTTCTTATCTTTCTTGACAAATACTGATAAGAAAAAAAAACAAGAAAGTCTGATATAAAGTTGATCTTTGATTAGGCTGAAGATATGGCTAGTATTATATTCTTAAACATTCTTGATTTTCTTCCCTAGAAAGTTTAAGAAAGGCCATTCTTGTTTTTCTTAGCAACATTTAAGAAAATACCAGAAAGTTTTAAGAAAGATGATTCTTATTTTGCCTGGTGATGTTCAAGATGATGTAAGAACTTTTTTCTAGTTTTTTCTTGTCATGTGACCTTTTCTAAACCCCTGATTGGTTGATTCAAATCCCAGAATGCAGTTAGGGGGTTTTGAACATAAGTCAGATGTAAGAGCCGCGCTGCTACTTATTTTTGTCAGTTACTGACTCATGTCAGATTTGAAGTCAAAATCAAATCAAAAAGGACCTTGTGTACATGTGAAGCAATGGAGATCGTGGTCAGCTTGCTGAAGAAACCAACTTTGCAACAGAAAAAGCATGAAACCAAACAGATTGAAGGTAAGTGCGCCCCCCTCCCCACCTACTAAGATCTGTTGACATTGTTTTTAGACTTCATAGCCCAAATATTGTTACAACGCCATTGGGGTTGATTTCAAAGTCAAATCATATATCTCTGGTGTATTGTATAGTAAAGTTTATTACAGTGCTTTCTAATACAATTTTAAATTGTTTACTCCAAGTAATAAAATAGTATTTAGTCATCCTCTTTTGACTTGTGCGCCTTCGATTCAGTTCTCGCATGCAAACTAACACAGGTCTTTCCTGTTGTTTTTCAGGTGTCCAAAGGGTGTGACTTTGCCAATTCTATAATGCGAAAACTGCAGTTTTTGCTGAATATGCTTCTGATCAGAATGTGATACGATCTGTATTCTGAAATCATAATGGCTTGTTAGTTACATCGTATAATATTTTGAAAGTTACTGTTAACTCTTTCCATTCCAAGAATGTTGATGGACTGATTTTATATTTTTAATTAGATACATTGTACAAAAATCAATGTGATAATAAACATCTCTATACTGTCCAAATGCTTTTCAAAATAACATTTAGTTGCTATACATTATTGTCTGTTTTATATTTAGGTAGCACTATATACATTGTATTTCTTTTCTTGTGGGCAGAATGGTTTTCTTGCTACAAGAACAGAGTCAGCTCTTATTTCAAGAAATCTTTTCTTGTGTACAGAATGGTTTTCTTGCTACAAGAACAGTTTGCTCTTCGTTCAAGAAATCTCTTCTTGT